CGGCCTGGTCTCCTTCTCCGAAAAGCTCACTCATATCATTTCCCGGAATGCTGTGCTCATGCTCGCCAGGAGCCATTGTCGGCATTGGGGGCAGCACTGGGCTTGAAGGAGGCGGGCTGGATCGCATATAGGGCGTCGCCTGCTGAACTGGTGGCGAGGATCCAATATCAGCAGGGCTGTCGTCGGGGTAGTTTGGGGTTGGTGCCGTAGACTCTGGAGATCTATCGTCGTCCATGCCGGGAGATGCAAAGCGGCTAGCCTCGCTCGTGGCAAAGCTTGCTACGGGCGGCTGGCTCAGTGCGGATTCACGTCGCTTGAGGGAGCTGGGCTCTCGTCCTGGTACCGCCCTGAGACGACCGTTAGGAACGGGTGTGGGAGCTCGAGGGACCTCCTGCAGATGGCTACCTGTCACACTGTCGCTATTGATGGCAATGGGTCGAAAGTTTCGCAGGGAGCTGGAATTGCTCGCAGCAACCCTGAGAGATTCGGGCTCGGCAGCGAAGGGATTCGCGTCCGACTTGTCCACCTTGGTCACCTTCGCCCTCTTCTTGACAGGCTCATCCTCCTTGGCGGGCGCGGCCTCTTCTCCTTCCGTTCCGTCCTCATAGCCGGATGTGTTGCCTTCAGCGGGTTTCTTTCGTGGCCTGCCTCGCGGCCTACCCGTGGGTGGCTTCCTCCGGGACGGCCTATTTGACGCTCTACTAGATGGTCGTGATGAGGGTGCCGGGACGCCAGGCATAGACTGAGACTGAGGTTCGATGGGAATGGGAGCCAACCTCGGCAGCTCTTGTGTAGACGTTTGGCTATAGCTCGGGCCAAAGGAGCCCTGCCTAACCAACGGTGGTGGGGGTCCTTGAGGCAGAGCGGGAGCCATGCTGGGCGAATGGTGGACCGGCATAGGGCTACCATGGTTCTGGCTGGCCTGTTGGGCCATCTGAGGGTTCGACTGGACCAGAGAGTTCCATTCTGACGCAGCACCAGGTGTCAAGACCTGCTCCATAGGTCTGACCGGCTGCTGGTCCACGGAAGAGGCATATGTGATGGAACGCTGGATTCTGGCTGTCTCAGACAGCTTCAATCTGACCTCGAGTGTCTCCCTGTTGCCACCACCAAACACACCCAATACATTTCTCGTCACACGGCCCGTCACCATCTTGGGCTGATGGTTCCCAAAGTCGGGCCGCATCGACTGGAAGACCCATGATAGCAGACCCTGGCCGACCAGAGGTAGATCGGGCTCGGAATAATCAATTGCGTAGATGGTGTAGTCGCACTCGTGGTTCGTCAGCTCCGGGCTGCACTCGGCAATAACATGTACGCAAGCCCGCAGGTCGACGACGCCAATGGAGTTGGTGTCATCAATCGGGACCGTCTGGACTTGCAAGGGCTGGGAGCCTCTGGCGAGGCAATTAACCTTGGCCTCTTTGTCGAACGTGTAGTGCACTTTCACTGTTCGGTCTGAATTAGTCGCTGCAGCAAACTAAAGTAAAGCCAAGGCACGCTGAAGCTGAATCTGAGGGAGATTTTCGTACAGTTCATAAACTTGGTCTGCACGCCATAGTCGTCAGCGTCGCCGGCGACAGACGTGTTGTTCCAGCCACTGGAGTGAGCGGGCATTGGTGAAGCCATGGCGATTGTGCCTCGCCCTCGCGGCCGGTCGTCGTGGTCCCCCTTCGCCTGCTGGGTTTGCCGATGCAGGAGTTGAGAATTGTCTGCCGAGATGGGTACTGTAAGTATTGAAAAAAGGGAAGTGGAGAGTTTGCTGGGTTGTTGGACTTGGTTTGTGGTGCCGGGTCAAATTGGGGAGGCGGGTTTCATGCTCGTGACGCGCCAAATGTCTCCAGGTCGCGTCTGCGTGGTGGATCTGAGATATGGAGGCGCGCAGGGGATTTTTTAAGACAAAAAGGCGAATGGGGCAACACCAGAAAAAAAAAAAAAGTGAAATGAGGTCAGATCCACGTTGCTACAGAGACAAGAGATGGCCGTTGCACAGAAGAAAGGGAGGACAAATTCTTTGTTCTGTCGTGCGTGGGTTGAAGAGCAAATAGAGGTGCAGGGCCTTTGTGATGGTGATGATGGCCTCTGTTTCGTCACGCCCCAAAAGCGTGTGTGCCTGCGCTGTAACCACGCCTGACGTGCCACCCAATTGCCAACTCTGCAACTTCGCTAGCCGCGCCACGGCAGCTTGCTTCGGTGTGTGCTGGAACTAGCAGCAGGTGAGCTTTTAGTGAGAAAGTGCCTGCAGAAAAGCCAGTTGGAGCCCGGCACTCAATTGAATCATGGGCGTTAATAGGCTGCAGGGGGGACTCCAGCCTGCCGCGCTTCTTCGGGGCTACCCCACCTACCCAATGGAGCAGTTGATCTTATCGCTGGTTGGCGCCGGCTGAACCCCGGACTAGCGGACCGGCTCCGATACAAGCCTCGCGTTGCTTTGGAGCTTTCTGAAAATGCCCAGCGAATTCGTCTCACACAAACGACGGTCTGGCGGCAGGGCAAAGATGCTCCGGTTGAGCGGGCAATTCGACGGAGCAAACAAGAGGAGCAATGGCCAGACTTTTTTTTCTTCTCCCTCCCTCCTCCTTGGTTGCGGCGGGCGGGGGCTTGCTGGCCCTTTTATAGTTGCCCCAACCAGGTTGACGCCATCTTGAGAGCTCGTCTGCCATCACATCAGCACCCCCTCCAACTCATCCGTCTCGTGACTTGGCTTCTCCCTGCATTTTCTTAGGCTGCACAAGTCTCTGCCCCTCCATAGCCAGACTCGCCCTACCGTTTTAGCCCGATAAATGAAGCCGTCTGCTATCGGCCCTTGCACCTTAATTCCATGACGCCCGATGGTTTGCAGCGCCACCGCCGTTGTGCAAAAAAGGCACGGGCGCACTTCACGCCATCTCCGCAAGATAACACCATGACGACTCCATCATCATTCATCACTCTGTGCTTTATCTTCATCTTATTAAATGCATTTGCATATCGTCTTTTTAGATTTAACTATTGTACATGTACATGCGTCCTCTATTTTCTCTCTTGTTTCTTTGCTCTCCCCTTTTTTATAGTCGACTTGAAGCCGCAGAATCACCGGCCACCCACTTGGCTTTGCCTTGCTCGTCAACTGTTGTTTTTCTGCTGATAATCTCGTCTACAACCTCTGCTACACCCTGTCGGTTCTTTCTTGACGCCTTGACCTGCTTCGCGAGTTCTGCTGGTGTAAGAGAGTTGCCAGACACAATGGCTTGAATCTCCTTCTCCGTAGGCACGCCGAGGGCGGCGAAAGGGTATTCGGAGTAGGTGCGGTCCGTAAACAGCTTAAATCCGGCGTCCTTGTTGAAGTCGAAGAAGGGCTTGGCAGTGTTCTCGCTAGCTGGGATGGCCTCGAGAGACTCGGGTTGCCACTTGGCAGCCTCCTTACGCACCAGCAGGGCCGTCACACCCTCCGTGAAGTCGTGGTGTTGCATGAACTTGCTGGCAATCTGGTGTTCCTTCTCAAAGGTCTCCGAGATGCTCCATTTACCGCCAACCCGCATCTGCCTAAGGGCAACATGCACGGCAGTGGGCGACCGCTTCCCAAGCGTGGCCAGCTGCTTCTGCGCCCACTCTTCAGTCTCACCCCGCTCTTCCTTCAAGGCAGCAATGATGTCATTCACGTTGTTCTTGCTGAAGCATCGGTCGATGGCCCGTCGAGTTTCACCGCTCAGAGCAAAGGCCTGGTCGTAGGGCAGGCCGGTGCAGAACTCCTCCAACGTATCGTTGATGAGCTCGAGCCTCCGAGGGAGAGGGTCCTCATCGCGGAAGCGCAACTCTGCCAGACGTGCCTCGAGATCCGGCAAGCTTGACGAGTGTAGGTAGTGAGTCGCAATGCCGCTGTAGAAGACGTTGGGTCCAGTGAGCCGGTCGCTGGTCAGCGCGAGGTAGGTTCCGATAGAGCCGTTCATCCGAGGCAGGAAGAAAGATGCACCGACATCGGGAAAGAATCCAATCGTCGTCTCGGGCATGGCAAACATTGTTCTCTCCGTCGCAATTCGGAAGGGTGCGTGGATACTCAGTCCAACGCCGCCTCCCATGGTAATGCCGTCCATGAAGGCAATGTAGGGCTTCTGATATGTCGCAATGTAGTGATCCAGCTGGTATTCGAGAGCAAAGTAGTCGGCTGACTTCTTCCATCCATCGGCACCCTCCTGATTGTACTGAGCCAGTGCGGCAACATCACCGCCGGCGCAAAGAGCCTTCTCGCCAGCACCCTTCATGACAATGACGTTTGCCATGTCAGACTTCTCCCACTCGATCAGCCGGGGAACGATCTTGCGAATCATGGATCCATTGAGAGAGTTGAGCTTCTTTGGGCGGTTCAGCAGCACGGTCCTGAGTCCGTACTTGCTCTCGAAGACGACATCGTTGGGCTCGTCGCCAGGCAATTCCTTGACGTTGTAGGCCTCGGCAGACAGCTTTTGTAAATCAAATTAGCACTACATTATATACAAAACAACATCTCCTTGTTGCTAACCGGTCGTGCGCCCAGTGACGAGCTCATGGCTCTGCTGGGATGCGCCATGCTCATGGTGGTGCGATAGCTCCGGCCCGCAGCATTCGCGGCCGTGCCAGCTCGAGCCGCAATTGTTCGGAAGGACATCAGACGTCGACTGTACAGATGCTCTCACACGGTCAATTCTAAGACATCTAAAGAAGGAGAGGGGAGGAGGAGAAGGATGACAACCGCAGGGCCTTGGACTTTGATCTCCGGCTATTTCGAAGAATAGAAGAAGCTCCACCTGAAAATTGGCCCGCCGATTGCCGATAAGGATGGCGGAGAAACATCCCATCCCAGTACGTACCGTTTTACAGCTGTCAGTCAGGTGATCGCAGCTGTTCACTTCCTGGGTACAAAAGTACAAAGTACAGGCCAATTGTTCCCCACAACAAGCCGCGACAAGGGCCAATCAGCAGCAGTGCCTGAGATACGCCTACAACTTTTCGAGCTTCCAGCTTGTCCAGCCTTGCGCACGCAACCTCATCCATCACTCCCAAAACCAAAGCAGCAAAAGATGGCCGACCCCAAGATTCAGTATGTCGCCCGCCATACCGCCAATTGTGCTTATGCTGACCGCTTCTACAGGGAACTCCTCACCAAGTCTCGCTCCGAACTCACGTACGTCGCGGATAACGCTTCTGCCCCTCCCACCGCTCTCCTGCATTCATACCAGAATATGTATATAATGTATATATCTAACATCCGACCTAGCGAGTACGAGATTGCGCAGCTTGAAGAGTATGAGTTCTCTTCAGGTCCCCTTTCCATCCTCCAGACGGCCGTGAGGTCGCACACGCAGGTGCTCATCTCCATTCGCTCGAACCGCAAGCTGCTGGCACGTGTCAAGGCCTTTGACAGGCATTGCAACATGGTGCTCGAGAACGTCAAGGAGATGTGGACGGAAACGCCCAGGCTAGCGGACGGAAAGAAGGGCCGGCCGGTCAACAAGGACAGATTCATCAGCAAGATGTACGCTATACCCCTCTCCCCTTTCCAGAATGTCGACGAGGTCTTGGGCTTCAAGAGACAGGGCTGCCGAACCTGATCGCGTCGAAATACGAAAATCTTGTTGCATAAATGCTGGGTACTAACGTGGTGCAGGTTCCTGAGAGGTGATAGCGTCATCCTGGTTCTTCTATCCTAGAGTTTATACGAGCTGCTTTGGGTTGTTTTGGGGTTTAATTGACATTGAGCTATTGGATGACGGATTTACATCGCGAGAAGTCTCAAAGGCGAATTTAGGCGTTGAAAACAATTTATTTGGTTGCTTTAAGCACACATCAAGTCTTTGGACATTCTTACTAGATCGTGGCCTCCACCATTGCGTCCTCTCTCTCTATGTCACATGTCGTATTTCAGATAGATTCCCAGCCCTCCTCTGTCGGCTTGACACCTCCCAATCCCAAGAAGAAGCATGCCAATCCCCAAGCACCGGGATCAGGCACCTCCTCATATCCACTGCCGCCTATGTATACCGACCGCCCAAGGCTTGCCTGCATGCCCTTGGTTTCATCGGCGGCCTTCCTTGCCGCATCGGCAGCCTGTTTCACATCGCCAGTTTTACCCAGAACCTCGACAAAGGGATAAAGCGCGTCCACAAGCGTGCGATCGCCGGGCTGAGCAGGAGTGTATTTGGACAAAGCCTCACAACTAAGCTTAAGAGCGGCGGACCATACTGAAGGACCAGCTTCGCCAGATCCCAGGGTACGAAGAGCGTGGACGAGAGCATTGAGGAATATGGCGTAAAGAGCACCAGAAGTGCCATCCATGGCGGTTTCTACCACCTGTACAATGGAAGCCACGTCGACAACCACATCTCCTGTCAGGGGCTTTTGTTGGATATGCTTTAGTATGGCTATAATTTACAAGTCAGTGTCTAGATGTCGGAAGGCATTGAAAGCCAAATTTGAAATGGGGGGAGTTTTTTGTGAGCTTACCTTCGGCTCCTCTCTTGAGACCAATGCCACAGTCTCCATCTCCAACAATGGTGTCGTACTTGGTAACTTCAGGCTCGGCCGCAATCACGCGTTCCAGCGCATTGGTGAGAACAGAAGTAGCATGTTTAGCATCCATTTGTAGTCCACTCGGTTGAGTCTCTTTGTTTGTCCCGGCGGTGTCTGTCCTTGTTGCAGTATTCTTTGCCTCCCATGACGTCTTTTGCACTGGAGCAGACCAGCCAGTGACCTCGCTGGGGGCATCCAGCAACTCAATCATGCTCGGCCCACCAATATCGGTATTGACGACGTTGAGAAGGGTGATGCTGAAACCCTGGCCATTCAGACTCGTCATAAATGTGCCGCTGATGGTGCGAACTGGTCGAATATTATACTTGTCGCTGAGCTGGTTCACCACTTCGGTAGTGATACCGCCCAGCTCCAGAACACTAACACCTCCCAGGTTGTTGATAAGCAGAACAACCTCGTTTGAGTTGACATTAAGGAAAGCCCTGTCCTTGTCGCTTTGGTCAAGCAGTTGGGTAAGCATTCTCTCCACCAACTGAGGCAGTTCCAGCTTCTCCCTACTTGATCCGGGCTCATTGTGAATACCCATTCCGACCTCGACTTGCTCAGGCGCCAAGGCTTCACTGGAATCGATAACTCGTCCCGGAACGTGAACATGCTCCAAGCTGGCACCAACACTGACAATGTTGGCCGCAGTCAGCCGAGCCACCTTTGCCACCTCTTCCAACGACCGTCCTTGCGCGGCTAGAGCGCCGGCAATCTTCAGCACGAGCACAGTACCGGCGATTCCTCGCCTTCCAACCTTGCCCGTCTTCTTCCTCCCAACGCCCACATCGTCACCCACGACGACCATCTCGACGGCCTGCCCAGCCGCTATGGCCTTTTCCACAGCCATTCCAAAGTTGAGAATGTCGCCCGTGTAGTTCATCACGACGACTAACACGCCCTTCTCGGTGTCTACCCTTGACATGATGCCGTTCCTGACCTGCTCAGCAGAGGGACTGGCAAAGATTGTGCCCGCAACGGCAGCTGAAAGCATGCCCGGGCCAACCATGGCGGCGAACGAGGGCTCATGGCCAGACCCTCCGCCCGAGATGATCGAGACTTGCTGAGGAGCATCGGATGGCCGGCGATAGATGATTTTGTTATCTGAGTCGAGAGCAACGTTGGGATTGGTGAGAGTCAGGCTGTGAAGCGCAGTGTTGACCAGATGAGTCGGGTCATTGATGAAGTGCTTTGTAGACATTATGGGCAATGTAGAGGGGACTGCAGCTGTAATTCAAAGACAAAATGGCGTTGATCACTCCGAGATGAGACGGATCATGAATGAGAAAAATTGTTGAAAGAAAGAGATGCTCTATGCAATATATTGAATCCAGGAGAAACAGATACCTAACAGAATGCTATATAAGAGTGGCCTGATTATCAGTGACGTAGAGTGATGACACCGGCGGGCTGATAAAGAAAAAAAGGGCGGGGAAGCTCGATATTGGCATTTCAGCGGGGTTGACAATTCCCGGCGAGCTCAACAAATCGAGTACAAGTCTCTACCTGTCTTCACGGTGTGAATGCAGCCGTGAGCGTTGGTAGCAGTACGAGCACCGTGTCTCTGTGTAATGCACGGTCATCAGCGGGGAATTGGGCGAATTTCGATGGAGAATCAGAAATCCATTGATTGGCATTGATTGGCATTGACGGCTGCGGGCCGTCCCAACAGGGCTTGTGCACTTAAAAGACGACCTCAGTTCCATTGAAGTTTTGTCGCCGCCTTCGAAATAGCAGCTTCACAGTTGCAGCTACCATTGAATTTGTCTGTCTGTAGAGTTGCATTGGCGTCTTTGTCTCGGCAGCCAATCACCCAGGCCATAACATCTTGTGGCCAAAAGACAAGGAATTGGCCCTCCAGCATCTCATGTCCTATCATGCATCATACACTGGGAGTTGGGTAACAGCATGGTCAATCAGGGTCCTTTAGTCATAATGTCGTGTGCAATTCTGATATCAGGCTTCCGCCCATCTAGGTAGTACTTCCAAACTGCTACAAATGAATACTAGGTAATGATGACGACGATAAGTGATGATACCCGCATTCCAAAGTGTCGTGAAATGTACCTCTTCGCACGACAAAAAAAGGGGATCAAGAAATATATATATCCAAGGCCACTCCCAAACGCCAGCCACAAAGAGCATCCATCCTACGCTCTAAATTCTCGGACTTGTATAAACAAAAAAGAGCATGCGTTGTGTAACACATGTGTATGTAGAGAAACAAATCCAAAATCCCATTCCCTTCTTGGGGCATATTTGCGTATTCTAAATCTTCATCACAACAGAAGCACCGCGCTGCCGCCCAGGACGCTAAGAAGCAGCAGGAGAGTGAGGATTGCTGCTCCAACCTTTCCACCGGTAGTAGGCTTCGTAACCTTGTCAATGTCGCCTGCAGGATCAATGTTACCCATACCAGCGCCTGGGTCACCCTTCGAAGTACCGCCCTTCTTAGCCGTGGCTGGCGCAGGGGCCTTAAGAACTTGAGTATACATGATGGCATCCAGAGCGTTCATTTGTGATCCAACACCATTTTTGCCATCGTATGTACCCTTGGGAAGCCACGCGAAACCACATCCCGTGCCGTCGATTCCCTTGAATGCGGCTGAGGCCGGCCCTGTGCAAATGGACGCTGCGGCTGAAGCAGAGTTGGTGATCAGGGGCATAAGAGTCTGAATAGTATGCGGGGCGAGCTGCATAGTAGAGGCCATATAGCGGACCAAATAGCCCTTGAAGGTACTCTGATCGACAGAGCAGAAGCCTCGAGGCTCGCAAAACTGCTCGTAAATGATGCCGTTTTGGACAAACTTGCCAACTGTCTGGGTGATGATGCCGTCCAGATTGGCCTTCCAGGTGGCGTTGTTGGTAAAGTTGTACATGGCGGCGGCGCCGTGCATGTAGATACCCGCGTTATAGGACCACTGGTTCTGGTCCATCTGGCCGCATGTGTTGTTGCTGTCGATACTCAGACCGTCATAAATCTGGTACTGGGGACCAATGAGACCAATCGTCTTCTCCCACTGCCAGACCTTGAGGGCCCAGTCAGCATACGTCTGGTTACCGGTGTATCGGGCCAATCGAGCGGCAACGTTGAAGAAACAGCCGTTGGCAACGGAGTTTTTGTAATCGTAACCCTTGTTCCATGAGAAAATCTGCCAACGGAGACCACCACCACAGTGCTCATCCCATCGACCGACATACTGGTTGAAGACGGCCTGCGCCATGGCCAGCCATTGTGGTTGATCGGATGGCGGGTTGGGGAAGACATCTTCGGCGGCGGACATGGCGGCCATGGCCCAGAAGCCTTGATCGTCGTTTCCTTCAGTCAGCGACTGGTTCGTGGGCAGAAAGGCGCCATCGGTTCCGGCCTGCCAAAGCATAGCTTGCATAGTGGCAGTGTTGTACGACGAATCTTTTGTCATGCGCCAGTAATCAATCATGGTTCCGAACATCGCACCGGCCTCCCACCCTATGGTTCAAAGTTAGTATCCATGTTTGAACAGTGGGCGACTGGCCGTAAAGAGTAAGAAAGGGTTCCTGACAATAGTATGGGTCTGGCAAGTTTCCGGGGTTATCGCCAGTGTTGTTTCCCGTGTAATATTTCATTAATCCATATGCAACGGTACCCGCGGCGTTTAAGACCGAAGCTGAAGAAAATTGGTGAGCAATGTCTGTCTCGTTGGATTTACGGAGCCTTGATTATCTTACTGCTGTCGGTCACGGTCAAAGAAATGGCATCAGCTCCCTGACCCAGCAGGCACAGGGCCGCTGTCGCAGCCGCCCAAGGAGACCTCATGGCTTCTAGCAGTCTAAAGGTCGAAATAGTCTAGTTGTGTCGAAGAGGTATCTATATGTTGTTTTGATGAAACGGAAATAGTCGTCCAGATCCAGTCTGTCCAACGAGGAAGCAAGGCGGCGCAATTCGAGAGTTCGCAAGAGGATGTCGAGATGCGATTCGCTTCCACCGGGGGTATCGCAAAGCGGAATGCTCGGTACGTCGAAGGGGTCAAAGAACGAGAGCAAGAGAGATGCGACTGTAGAAACGAGCGGCTGTTGCTGAGGGCAATGTTACATGCAATGGCAAAAGATGGGATAAGAGAACAGGAAAAGAAGTGAGTGGTCAAGGAGATCTCCGCCGCGCGTCAAACGAGAGTAGTCGCTCCACTGCTTACATACGGGCCTCTTGAGGCTCGATGATTAGAGATTGAAAATGAAGAGAGAAGAGAGTGTGCGGCGAGAGAGCATGCAAATCGGTACGCGAAAAAATAGTGGTAGGGGGGAAAATGACAATACGGATGGACACAAGAGTTAAGGCGCGTCATTTTCATTTTAGCAAGGTAGGCCTTGGAAAGGGTGTAAGTGTATCAGCAGTATACGGGTGCATGGGGAGACATGGTTGGCCGCAAGTGCAATTTCACGGAACCTGCTAGTTGCCAGTATGCCGCGCCCCCCGGCACTCCAGGTTTCGACCCCCATGAGACTGAGCTGCTTGGGACAAACGGCCTGAAACGCCTCACGGAGGTGGTGCGTCTCCATCCTAGTGTGGAGGATGGATGATCTCTGGCCTTGACCATTGGCACGGAATCCTCTGCCTGTATGCACAGTACTTCGTATATGCCACAGCCCCTCTGGCGGTATGAAGCATCATAATGAGAGGGCGAAGAACAAAAAGAAGACCGGCTACATGAAGCCTTCGTACATGAACTCGGCCGCAGCGGCAGTGCTGCGTAATTGCTACGGAGCCGAAATTCCGGCAGTGGACGTGGCCGGCAATGCGCATATTTTCCAAGGGGGGATTCGCCAGTGCAATACCACCAAGGTAGCAATACTCCGTATCAAGTATACTCGGTGATGAGCAATCGCCAAGCCAAGTCAAATAGTGTCGTGCTTCGCCTCAAGGGTGATTGCAGCTCGTGTGCCAGTAGTAGTACCATGATTCCCTTTGTCAACATCTTCGCCTAGCCATTCGTGCGAGCGAATGTCTAGCTGCAGGAACGTCGAGCTGAGGTACTTTGAGCATCGAAAAGACAAACAACACGGCCGTTTCCAAAGGGCCCACGGAGCGTGTACAAGCGCACCGGTGCTGTCGACGGTGCCAAAGTTTTGCTGGTTTCAAGCCAAGAGCGCAGCCCCTGGGCCCGCTGGTTTTCGCAGCGGATTGGCGTCCGCGTCTCTCTCAAACCACTGGACGACCGACATAGATGAGGTGGATACAGCCCGGGGTGAGGCTGTGCATCAGCGGCTAGTGCCAGTTTCGGGAACATTCAACGTCTCTGAATCAAGAGCCCTAAGGGTCTGGCGTTGCAAATTGCTACGGCGATGCGCTAACGGGCGAGGCCTCAGTTCAATGCTTGAATACGAAGCGCCGCCCCTAAAATTGGCTGCAGAGCTGAGGTGGCGATCAGAGACACATCAACGGTCGAGGTGGGTGCTTCAGACGTGGTGCGCATGTGCCTGTGTCTGTGCATCTGCATCTGCATCTGCTTCGTGTTTCTTTCGGGATCAGGCTGGCGCCAAATTCAGGCTGGTGGCTGTGGAACGGTGTCAGGCTGTGGTTCAGGCGGGATGAGGCTATGCAGATCATGGCTGGCGATCATCTGAACGTTATTTTGTAAAGAAGATGAAGATGGGCAAAAGACGGGAGTTGAGATAGACATCAAGAGACGTATCGTACAGGTACGAACCTGAAGTACCGCTCTTTCCTTGTCAAGGGGGTTGAAGGAGCGACGCGACCCGTATACGGAGTAGAGCGAGGGGGAAAGAGCCGTTTATTGGCTGCTTGATTTGGACTTGCCTGTTCGATCGGCTTGGCTTTTATGCATTTGTAGAAGGCACGATCTGCCGTTGTTTCATAGCAGGAGGGTGTTTGCAAAGCCTCATTCGAAGAACCACGTATTATTATTAATCTTTCCAAGTTGCTTATAGGAATGAATTATGCCAGCATTTCCTTGAAAAATTGCATCCTGTAATCTTACCAGAAGTACAAGTAGAGATACTACTGCGTACTTAACATTGGACAGTGAGAAGTACCCTAATAAGCAATGCGTACGTGTAAGTGGTTTTTGGCCGTCAGATGGCATAAGAAAGCCTGCAGAAATGCAGCCCCGTTTCGCCAAAACAGAACACTGCTCCATACTCCATACACGCATGGGCACTTCAACACCCCGTCTGTGCGTTGATCCGAGTCTGAACACAAAGACTGCCGAAAGCATTTGCATATTGGCATAAGACGAACCTCTTCGTCCCTTAGCTTTAGAGGTTGGTGCCTTCTCTCTGATGGTGTCTGCAACACTTGTACTTTATGATGCTATAGACCCCCTTTCCTCTATATCGCCTTGAAGTAGTAAAGAAGGGTCAGGATTGTTACTCGGGAAGGCTGACGGCTTTTATCTTTATTGGCGAAGAAACGTTATGGCAGCCTCGCATCATGAAAGACTCTGGCATCATCTAAGACCATGCTAAAAGAGGAAGCGATACACGACATCCAATCATAAAAACCATGGAAGTTCTACACCACGCTGAGGCGTCTAATCAGCCAGTTGTTTTGACGTATCGTGTAAATTCAGTATTGTTCACACCCCATAAACAGCTGCTCCGTACCTGTGACAACTTGAAAATGCAACTTTTTCATCTTCATCAAGATTTGGCCAATGGGCAGGTTTCTTCTTCATCATATGTATCTACAACGGGAATCTTATACATCCCTCTTCTTCGAAATGCGTCTCTTCATTTCTCCACTCCCACGACATATCGGCACAGCAGATGGCTGATATCATCATAGCTATTACAACGAGTCGAACAGTACAATGCCATAGGGTCTGCTCTGGCTGTGAGAAAATATCTCAATGGACGTCCAAGGTAAGATGATTGTTCCGCTGTGTTTCGCTTCGTTTGCTATCTCAATGATGACGAGAATTGATACACTTTTATCTTGATACGGGACTCTGCTTCGCTCGCATGCTGGCACTCAATTGCATCGTGATTCTTCTATCTTTGCGCTCTGGTATTCGAATTTGTAAACACGTAAAAAAAACGAAACAAAATAAAACAAAACAAAGTCGTCTCATACTATTAACCTTCCACGAACAATATCACAAGGCCACACCCCGCTTCCAACAATGTCGCGACAAAAATGTCATCGTTATTCAAGCAAAAAAGAAACATCATTATACACAGCGAATCAGACAATAAACAAAAAAGGGGGGATGTCGTAGCAGTCTAAGTTTTCGGATCTGCAACACACTCTCAGTCAGCATAGCTTCTTCATTCAGTACTACAATCTCATCCCAAGAAAAAAACTCACCTATGCAGATGGCATTTGCCTTCTCATGCTTCTGATGACACCACACATACACCCGTTTAAACGGATCCGACGACTTGGGCTGCTTCCGCTGACTGCACAACCACCCAACCATGCCCTTGCTAGTAGCATTCGTGCAGAACGTGATGCAGCAGTCCGTCACCGACGGGAGCCAGACGTAGCTGTGGGCTTCGAAGCCGAGATCCGTGCCGCCCTCGTCGTCGATGATGGTGCTGGCCTTGCCGAGGAAAGTGTCGTTGGAAAAGCCCTGGAAGGCGAACGTGTTGCCGGAGGTTGTCTGGTTGTTGAGGAAAGACGGGGTTGGTGATGAGGATGAGGTTGTGCTTGCTCTTGTGGATGTAGTTGAGCTTGTTGAAGTCGACGATGGTGTGCTGTTGAAAAGGTCAGTCAATTCTTCTTATTTCCATCCTATCCTTTTCTCGTCTTCTCTCTCGTCTTCTTACCTAGATGATGTTGTCGAGGCAGCATCTGAAGGAGGAGCATCACTCTTAGAGTTCTTCGCCGCCAATCCCCCTCCAACTCCACCTCCTATTGCCGCAGCGAGCACAACCAAAGCAACAATCACAAGAATCCACAGCGTCCTCCGTGGCAGTCCACAGATTCTCTTCCCCCCTTTTCTCCCCGTATGTGCCCCCTCAACATCCCCCGACATCCCGTCTGGCGTCACCGAAGACTGCTCCTCTCCCCCCATAATGGCAATCTTGTTCGTGTCCACGTCCTTTGGAATCACTGTCTGCGGCGCATCGCCCTCGAGATACTTGCGCTTGTACTCGGCTTCGAGGCGCGACATTGCCTGGGGGCTCGAATCAGGAACAACCTCAGGCAATCCCTCGTCGTGAGCCGGATACATGCCAAGGGTTGGCCCGTAACCTGAGCTGATGGTGGACGATGGGCTGGTAGCTCGGTTGATATGAGGATGGAGCAGGTGGTTTTCGTCTTCTGCTGGCGGCTGCTTCGGTGGCTCTTGTTTATGTACGACCTCCTGGTCTTGCTGCTCCTGGGCCGGGTCTTCATGCTGGCGCCCATTCGGGTCATCTTTTGTTGTCGGCTCCATAGTAATAAACTGCGTGTCGAGATGGGAAACAAAAAAGACCAACAAAACTCAACAGCCAAGAAGCGAAACGACACGAACGGACAGGCTAATTGTTTCCCCCTTTGAACTCTGAAAATCCACAAGACTAGTCTGGGACCTCGCCCGTAGTTTATAGTACAAGGCAAATCAAATCACAAGAGCCTCATTGCTGGCCTCGGCTAGAGTCCGCAAGGCTCGAACCGATCCATCCACGACTAGCTCTGCACATCATTTCCCCCAACCCGCAAGGCCTCGAGATGAAGATTGAACCCAATAGGCCCGAGTGTGTTCAGCTAGCATCAACCACCAACGACTCCCCCTTGTTCATGTAGATGCATGGATCCTGTCAAAGACTCAGACTCATCCTCCGACTTTGCCTAAAGAAGGGGTCTTGCACCTCGCACAAGCTGGTGCGCTCTCCCCTTTCGCAGACGTTTCCCTCCTTGGTCGTGGTTGAGGGCGTAAGACGGAGGAAATATCGCCCGCACAAGACGAGAGACGGGACGAGACGCAGGATGCAGATCATCTATATTTATTGTCTCTGGCTGACTCATTTTGTTTCTTTAATTGAACGTGCTTGTTTGTAGTCGCATGCTCCTTTGCCGATTACATTCAGATGCATCTTCTCGTGCCCCTGGCTTTAGCGAAGAGTGGCTTTTTTAAGTCTAAATTTAAAATCTCAGCCCATCATCATTGTACTACAACACCACTCGATTATTTTACAACCACAGCTATTATAGAATATTCGCGACTAAAAAAGCACAAATCTCAACGGTGAATCACAAAATCACATGGCAGGTAAGAAAGGGAGAAAGGGGGAATGGGAAAGTAAGAATTATCCGTCTCCCGATAGACTCAGAGATTCGAAGGATTCCCACCTAACCCAGAATTGAGATTATCGCGGGATACTGACCCTGTTTTCTCTTCACACTTTTCTTCAGCCGCAATGTAACCTCAATATAAAACCGTGAATTTAACCTCCAATGGCTCCATTTATTAAGGCTCGCGTGACAGTGGGCCCCCAGCTTGAATCTGCGCTACCCGCGCTATTACACACAAAAGTCCAGGGCTTGGAAGCTTGGCTTCAAGATGCCGCTTTGAGCAAGGCCAATTGTCAAGTGATAAATATCGTATATATGTCTGTACGTCGTTGAAATACTATATTAAGATAGGTAGCTTGGCAGACGAGCATGGCTGGAGCATAGCTGGAGCACAGCATGGCATGGGATTCTCAACATCTCCACGCAACACCAGTTTGGATCAACAGGCACATCGTTGCTACACCTTGGTATGCAACACTTGAAACAAATGAACCCCAAAGGGATGCGCAATCGAAATGTTCATGGCCATTCGCTTTCACCGCCCTCTCCGATCGATCCTACAACTAAATCCCCCATCGCCAAACCCAGCCCTTGACTCTTTTTTGCTCTAGCCAAAGCCTCAGTGATTCATCATATAAATTTCAAAAAGAAAAAGACGAGGTTGATAATATGGGTAACATGAAGCATCAAGTCATCAGCTCCTTGACATTGGAGCTCGCATTGCCAGTCCGTATCCCAAAATTTTCTAAAGCCTATTGTCGCTGCAAAAGTTTGCTGAAATCCCCAATACTTTCATGATCGGCTCTTGCGGTCCCTAAGCATTCGATTTTGTTAGTTCCAATTCACACAAAAAACACCGCTTGCTCTTAAAATGATGCTACTTACGTGCTGAGTCTCCGGGACAGCTGGTGCAGCTTCTTGTCATTGTCCGCCTCTTCTGCCGCCTTTTGCAAGGCAATCGCTCTCTCCTCCTCTTGGTGCTTCACCACTTCGTCATGAGTCGGGGGCAGATGCTCGTTCTGCAAGTCGACCTTTCTGGCATCTTCGAATGAGCTAATCGCATTCTTGATACCTTCGGCACCGAGCATCAGAGTACCAGCGGGCAACCTTCCGCCGGAGACAGTCTTCAGCTCCGTCACGCGCTCAGACTCTTCACGCAGAACCTGGAAGACACGCGACATGCGGCCAATGGCCAGAATCTTGTTCTTGATCGCCCTGCGCTTGAACTCAATTGAGTTGGGGTCTTCCAGGCTACCAGGAAGAGATGGCGAACTGGGGCCGGGGGAATGTGAGGACGGCGTCTCCTCCTTGAGTTCCTCCTCCGAGCACGTGCTCAGAATGGCAATGAGCATGTCCGTAATCTTTTCGCCCACAAATGGTAGCGACCAGGTGAAGACGTCCATGAAGTTGGGCAGCCAGTATGGATGAGGCGTGCAGTTGAACTGTCGAATATTCATAACATTGTTTTCGTACTTGAGCACGGCGGCCTTGTTATTGTAGACATCGAGGTAGTTTGGTGCCGAGAAGATGGTCATCACACTGGGGAAGCCGGTCGTCCGCGTCTTGCGGTACATTCTGTAACCGGCATCCTGAGCTTCGTGGGCACGGATGACAGAGAGCAAGTTGTTCTTCTCCAGGAATGCACAGGCTGCGTGATATGAGAAGAAGTACGAACATCCTCGTACGTGGTTATGCAAAAAGAAATCGCTGGACTTTTCCTGTCCAAAGTCCTCGAGCGGGTCGGCCCATAGAATGTCGCACATAAGACCCTGAGTCGGGGGCTCTCTGAATCGATCAATCTACATTGTTATATGTTAGCGTCGTGGTCGGGTACATTGATTCCAAGCGTTGGAATGTCTTACACTTCTCAGGTCGTCGAGCGTGTGCAGCTCGGGGCTCAAGCCACCGTGGATACACAGGAACTGCTTGTTCATGACGGCGGCCAGGGGAAGGCAGCAGAACGATTCCATGCAGGCTTCGTAGATGGCCTCTGAGTACTTGTGCTTGCACTCGAGCTTGAAGGTGAAGTAGTCAGTCAGATGGCGACACTCGTGGTTGCCTCGCAGAAGCCACAATGTCTTGGGGTAGTGGATCTTGAGGGACCACAGATAGAGAACACATTCGATACTAAAGTATCCTCGGTCAACGTAGTCGCCGAGGAAGAGGTATCGCGTCTCAGCAGGGTCGCCTCCGACCTCAAACAGCTTCATTAAATCGTAGTACTGGCCGTGGACATCACCGCAGACGGTGATGGGGGCGTCCATCTCGAGAAGATTGGGCTCGGCACGCAGCAGCTCGGTACCCTTTCTGATGATCCACAGCGCCTGCTCCTCGGTGAGTCGGCCCTCGCGATAGAAGTGCTGCTTGAGGAAGTTGATGTCGGGCTTTTCATGGGTGTCGTCTTCGAAAAACTGCTCATCCGTGGGCTTGAACATGGCCGGCGCCTGAACATCTGTAGACGGGCGGTGCCACGAGCGTTAGCGATGCCATGTTTGAGACATTGTGCGTGATGCGGTGCTGAATCCCGACGGCAGCCTCCCCTTATCAACAACAATGGCGGGGTAGTTGAGAGAGAGGCGGCGACGATAGAACATGGGCTGCAGGACAGACGTACCTTTGCACACTCGCTCGAGCGTGCTCACCTGAGTGCCATCCTCCATCATATGGATGGTGAAGTCGATCTCGGGCAGCGGCTTCTTCTCCTGGATTGCGCGAATGGCATTGTCGACCTGGGCGGTCCGTCGAGGCGCCTGATCGGCGTGGTCGCCTTCGGTGTCCATGGCGGGCGACTAGAGGGTTGAAGAGCTGAATAAAAACCAAGAGGCTCGAGAAAGTACAGAAGATGCTGTTCTTGGGGATATTTGAGAAAAGAAGAGGCTTCTGAGGCTCTGCTCGGCGAGGGTCCAAGAGGTCGCAAAGGCCCTGGAGCGGCGGGAGCGTGGCGGGTAGCGGTGAGGGGGACAAGCAACAGGCCTGCAGCTGCTGGTTCAAAAGCTCAAGCTGGGGGCGAGACAAGGCTCGTGGCAGAAGGACAGACGACAGACGTTTGGCGTGGTCACGGAGTCCCGTATAGCTATGCCCAAGACCAAAACCGTGCGCTGGCGAGGCAAAGGCGAGATAGGCTGACAGGAGAAGAAGTTGGGGAGCTGGCCATGGGGCAAAAAGGCTGGAGCCGGCTGCTAGGGACTAGAGGCTGCCTGTAGGCGTCTGGCAGCGCTAAAACTGCCTGCTGTGTCCTGTCTCCTTGGACCGCGACCAAGAGACAAGTAGCCTTGGGTACCTTACCTTGGGCAAAGCGGGACAGGAGGTTATGCCCAATCACGATGGATTTTTAAGCATATTGCAACGGAGCACCGCCAAAGGAGCTGATACAGCTGATGCAGATATCTGTTGGTTTACATTTTGCTACATTTCTATGAGACATCTGTCTGTTAGGCACATGCACTTGAGACTTCGATTAGTATCCAAGATACTACTAATTCCAGTCGCAGCATTGGTCTGGATGTTTTTTTCTGGCGGCGCCACCAGTAAAATAAAGGGGCGGGGGGGCCTCCGAGAGTCATTGACATCACCCCGATCCCCCATACCACATCCGAGTCTGGTGGTATTTTGTCAGTGGTCTTCTAGCTAGTAACTATTCCATAAGAATTGATCAGTTTAGTCAAGTATGGCAAAAAGCAGCATCTCCCCGACGGCGAGCAGCTCCGAGATGAGACAAAGCTGTTCATTAGCCAGACTGGCTGCCCCTCCTTTGTTATGCGCTGTCCGAGCCTCCTCACGGTAGGACCAAGTACCAGCGTGTACTCACTCGTACCTCGCTGGAGACCGGACAACGGAGCACAGCGCTTGGTCCCTGTTCCCGCTGGAGCCCCGCCCCAATTCTGCCGCCAGACCCTGAAGACGGTTTGCCGTTTGGGGTAGTAGGATGATGTAAGCTTCTTTGTTCCCAAAAGAGGACATGAAGATTGCTTGGAGCATGGCTGTAGAAGTACAGAAGGTCCATGAGATTGATGTACACACGAGGTATCAAAGCACTCTATGGTGCGTTTGATGTCAAACAAGCATGTAAAGATCACCTTTTGATCAGAATAATTGAGAGTTTCACAGCCATATTGGGATTTATAAATTATATTCATACCCTACTCCTTTTGCTTTTCGAGACGCTATTCTAAGCAGCAAATACATATACATGCATCTTCTATTGTATGTTCTGTCATTCCGTTCGTGTCCTTTTTTTTTATGTGTGTATTTTATTCGTCTTTGGCCACCCTACAGCTCTTCATGGCAGGCTGTAACCGCCATCCACAATCATATCCAAGCCCGTGGTGTAAGAGCTCGCATCGCTCGCTAGGTACAAGTATGCGCCCTTGAGCTCGCCGGTCTGACCCTCGCGACTGTATAGATGCACGTATTAGCAATTGGTCATTTACCCACAAGGGACCACTCTCAACTTACCCCATGACAATTTTGCCCTTCCAGATATTCTTCGTCTCGGGCGAACAGAAGGTGGAGATTTCGGTAAGAATGTATCCGGGGGATACGGTGTTGACTCGAGCAAATCCGGTCCACTCAACCGCCAGACTTTTGCCTATATGAAGTACTCGTGTCAGTCTTCGCCATCATCAAACCCAGGCCTGGCCACTTACAAAAGTGAATCACGGCGGCCTTGGAGCTGTTGTACACGGCCTGCAGCTGCGGAATGTTGACGATGCTGCCGCTCATGGATGCCGTCGCGATGAAGCTTCCAGCGATGAAATTCTCCAGAGGCTTGCCGTCAATCGTCGTGCCCTGCTCCTTCTGGCGGCGGAAATGAGCACCAGCGCTCTTGGCACACCACATGACGCCGTCGACGTTGATGGCCATGACGTTGCGGGCCGTTTCAACAGAGCCGTCGATGAAGGCGCCCTCGGTCCACGGGATGCCAGAGTTGGCGACGAAGATGTCGAGACGGCCGTTGAACTCCTTGACGATCTCGGTGATGGCCTTGTCGACATCCTCGGCCGAAGTAACGTTGACCTGGTACGCCTTGCCTGCGCGGGGTGTGATTCACAGCGTTAGCAACAACCAACATTCTCCAAGAACAAAGCTCGAAACAAATCATCCCACTCACTCTTGACGCCGTAAGTCTTGGCAATGTTCTCGGCCGAAGTCACGGCTTGCTTGTTGCTGTTGTACCAAATGGCCACATTGGCACCAGCCTCTGCAAACGCTTCGGCAACAGCCAGGCCGATGCCAGCTCCAGCGCCCGAGACGATTGCGGTTCTGCCCTTGAGAGAAAAGAGGGGCAACACTCGGTCGACGTTGGGGACGGCCGAGTTGTCGTGGGGAAAGGTGCCGTTTGTTGTTTGGACCATGTTGGCGGTAGGTTGTGGTATATAACGGGAAAGATGTCGATTATGATAGACAGGTATAAATAAGTAAATCAATCAACAAAAGGAGGGTATCAAGATCACGACTGCTGGCCAAAAGTGACACTATCACGAAATGCTGCGGGGAGAGCCGCAGATGTGGCCATGCCGCACCTCTTTATACTCGTACACAGGACAAAACAACATGTCACCGCTTTCTTTCCGCCGTAAATACTCCGTCCACAAAACGAATCAATCCAAGGCGGGACCGTCGGTGCGACATTTACCACCATTTGTCCGCGTTGACGCGCTCCAATGTCGACTCGTTATTTCTGATATGCTTGACCTTGTCACTCCAGCCCATGTGGGGTTTTCTCCGTTGTAAACGGCCTGGCGTCCGACCCCACGTCCAATGTCGAATTATTGCCAGTACTCGTACTTGTCCTTGGGGTGCCAGCTCAGAAGCGTGCATGTGTCGGAATGTCACCGTTTCAATTGATTGGCAGCTTGCCATCCCGTGTCGACAGCAGCCCACGTGCTCTGCTTCTTCGTCCGTTGTCTGCGTGTGCCTGAGCGCTGTCTGAGATCTTCAGGACCCCTCAAATTGCCATCCATCCCATGTACACACAATGGATCAAATGATAAAACTTCCATGTTCCCCCCGCCAAGCAACTGAAACTCTTTGGGACATTCCGCCAGCCGCTTGTTGGGCAGCTAAACAAGCCCAGCGCCAGCCCAGCCAGCTAAAAAATGCTCCTAGCGGATCCATGTCCTTTTGCGAAGTCGGACTATGGCTGAGTCTGGGAGTTGCGCCTGAAGATCCCACGTCATAGGCAGTGGGGGTTTTTGGATGCGTCTTTTGGTCGTGTGTTTGGAGCTCGAGTATTGTGGCTTGGGGAATTGATAAGATACGCTGTTCAATTGATGGAGATACTTGCCGTGATTGGGTGATGTGTTGTATGGACGGCTATTGAGAACCGGAATCAAAAGCCGAAACCACGAGCGGAATCACCCAAAGTGTCTATACCGCAACAGCAGCTCCCTTCACAGCTTTGTGTTTTTATCATTGACATGTTCATTTATAGACTACAATATGTACGGACTATACGGAGCATATCCTAGAGTATCTACCATCATTCCATTTACGAGTCCTTATCGTAGTTGCATGTTGGATGCAATTACTTCCTCGCGGGGAAAGTTGGTCATTTTCCAACGAGAGATAAAGTCATCTCGGCTGACTATTGCATACCATTAGTCTTTTAAAATTCGCAATTACAAAGTTTCCGTGAGCAAGATAAAACGTTGGTGGCTGAGTGACTTACTATATGCACCACAGATGCGCCGCAGGCCCTCAAATGCGCTTCTCCCATGAAGCACTCGCCAGTTATCAAAGACTTGTATGGGTCAGTACGACGCCACGATATTCAATCCCACAGAATACGGTTACTTACTCAAGACTCGCCCGGGTTCAAGCTGAAACCAATATTCGCTTTCTTTGCGCTTCAGTATCTCGTCCCACTTTCGTGCCGCCTGGTACCACGCATCGACGTCGATATCCACGGGGACCACTCCTCGGTCATCATTGTTCCACCTGATCCTGTGCAACTTCTCTCCAGTAGCTTCAATCACGGGATATGCCATATCTGGTGCAATTGCCACGCCCTGGTTGCCGCTAGCATGCCATGGGAGCTTGACCTTGCGCAGTATCTCGAAATCTCCTGGCGATTCCTTTCTAAGTGTCTCCGCGGCGTGGAATCCATCTACAAGCAATGATTGTCCACCCAGCACCTCGTCAGCGGGCTTATTCGTAGGTGGCGTGTGAGATAGCAGGTGAAATGCTTGTAAGCCTGCGGGCTCGGTAAAATAAGTCGTGTCTGTATGAGCTGGGAGAGCTAGGTTAGTGTAAGCTGTATCGGCGAGGGCCAAGTCTGGGATGAAGTCGTAAAAGCCTCCGTAGTGAGTATTTCGAATTGGTCCAATTGTTTCCAAGAGCTTCTCCGTATCCTCTGGAGTTTTGGGCGAGTTGGTAACGAAGCAAAACCCATATTGGCGCTACTCATGGTAAGTTTTGGTGAATCACGTAAAGAGAACGAGTACACACAATCTTTCCCGTCAGCTCAGCCATTCCCTTTGGAGAAGTGCTGTTCAGGACATTGTTAAACTCGACCTCTGGAGGAGCCGAGGAAACCGTTGCACCCCATAGCTTTCTCTCGCTGGAGATCATGTTAGATTCAATAGGCTTATAAGCTCACTTGTTCTTACTTACTCTTGAATCGTGGGCTTCTTATTACTCGTATCCTGAACAGTAAAGTTGAGCCAGGACCATGGGTAGTAGCTTTTATGAGAATCCGACCCTGACATTTGTCAATTAGTTTCATCTCATAGATGTTAAGGCAAAATAGTTTAGAATAGTGAGTACATAGTATGTCAACGCCGTCACTCTTGGGCGATATTTCTGTAGGCGAAACATCCTTGGGGATCTGCAAGCACAGAGATATGAGCATTCGACGATATTGTGAACAGTAATGGCTTTGGCCAATACTTACGGCAAAGGTATCAAAGTTGCGCTGTAGGGTATCCTGGTTCACACATTGGGCGCAGCGGCAGTTGTCGCTGCAAAAAGAGATTCGTCGGTCAGTGTTACATTTCATGCTTGGTGCCGTCACTGGTGGCATGTGAACACACATACCGAAGCCATATTTTAGATCTGGAGACGGCGATTAGCGATTCGGCTTTGTGCCTGCCTAATAATTGTAAGCAAAGCAGGCTCTTACAATTCAGCTTCGATTAGGGATCCGGAGTCATTGCTCTTGAAAACGAGTCCTTTGGGGCCAGTCTCGAGGGTTGTCGCATAAAATCGTGGCCTTGGGAGAGCAGCCGAGGCTTGCCGAGGGACGAAGCTGAGGCGGCGGCCAAGGCCAGAGCTGCAGGTACAGCAAGAATGAGCAAAGAACAAATTATTCAAAGGTGTAAGGGCAATACCGCGACCAACCTGATTGTACGGCCCTTGAGCAAAAATAACATGGCTCGGCGTTGTAATGAGGACTAATGATGAGAATCGGCCCATGTTTCCATCAGCCCGGCACCAAGCTCTACTTGTAGCGCGGGTATCGCTAGCCATAGGGCGGTAGCTACAGCTCGTGCCAAAAGCGTGCTGCGAACGCTAGAAAAAGAGGGCCCGGACAGTACAGGCACTACGTAATTCCAGGTCTCCATTGAAGCTCTGATATGCTGCAAGTCAACCATTATAGCTACAAGATGCTCAGTAATATGATATTGATCCATTATTTCTCTTCTCATGCTACTCCTATTCCCAACTCTCCAGTATATGTTCTTTCATTCCAATCTATCCTCGCACCTCTGACTTGATCCAGACGGTGGGAGGTTAGCGAATCAAAAGAGTGCCCAGGTGCCTATGAACGGTAGCCAACTCTCACGCAAGATCGCAGCACGGGTACTATCCGATCTTTAATCTTTTTGATCCTTCGCAACACGTCCCCGTTCACAGCATTTTTAACCTCACCCGAGGCCTGAAGCGGCTGAATCGACCAGTTTCTGGAGTACAAGGCTCTTCAATTTCTAAAAATAATAAAAGGCAGATCAGCTAGTAGTTCAGGATCACGCTGATTAAGAAGCTCTCTCTCATCCAGTGGAGATGTAGGTTAGGTAGCGAGGATGACTAGGTTTCTTTTTACCAGCGCTGGTTCATGCACCTTTAAACATGTACCTTTCAGCCACGTGAAAGTGCGCTTAGTCGGCATGAGCTTAGCTGTACATTTTGCTGAAGATAATCCGACTTCCGGGGCTCTATCTGCCCGCTGGCCAGTCCACATCAAACAACATAAAAAAAAAGTTGGATCAAGCCATATTCCGTCATCCTTCCACAGCAAGCTCCTTTGCTATCGCTCATTGTTTCCCTTCATCTCTGTCCTGCTGCGTGATTTGACGGCTCTTTCAGCGAGGCGTTTTCGATCGCCGCATCGCACAAATCTCTCCGATCTCGATAAAACGCTTTGCGCCGCGCCCTGCTGGTCATGGAAGCATCGTCCTCGAGCCGACGCCGCTGCACCAAAGCCTAATTCTTGTGGTAATACAAGGGCGTGGATCCCCGGGGTGGAAAAGGTCTTGCAGCATGAATTCGCGACAGCGCGGGTTCGACACGTTTTACGACGACCAGGTCGCAGCCCGTCGACAGTTTTACGCGCGCGAGACTGCCGTGAATCGCATCAACGACTACGCCGTTCTCGTAACCGTCGCAACGCTCGTGGTAACTTTGCTGGCCAAGTTCTGCAGCCCTGACGGATCGATTGAGGGCATCTTTGCGCTGGTTGGTGGTTTTCTATGGGACGCGCTGGTGTTTTTAATCCCCTCGCCGCTTCTTTTCGCAATCGACAACTGGATGGACTCGTCTGCGACACGACCGATGCGCGATACCACAAACCAAAGCACCTATGCTGCTAAAAACAGGGCCATGCGGAGGGTGATGGGCTTGGATCGCCAGGATGGCGTCATGAACTCGGTCCTTCGTGCTAGAACAAGAGCATTGTCTATGACGGGAAGTGTTCTGGGCCTGAAGATCGAATCGGACCGGCCGGCGGGATTGGGAAATCGAGATAACTCATGCTACCAGAACAGCGTTCTCCAGGGCCTGGCTTCATTGCACTCGATGCCCGACTATCTCGCAGCGTGTCTCAAGGGTGTGGACGAGACTGGCCATGCTGCTGATGAAAACGTAGCACACACGCTACGGATGCTCATTGCAGATCTGAACGATGTTTCGAATAACGGTAAAACACTTTGGACGCCTTCTTTACTTAAATCTATGAACACATGGACGCAACAAGATGCCCAAGAGTACTATTCCAAGGTCCTGGACGATATCGAAAAGGGAGCAGCGCTGGTGGCCAAAAACCTGTCTTCTGATAAGCTCTTGGGACTGGAGACTGGCGAATATAGCAATGCGGACGAGTGTTCTACCAGTGAGCATAGCGACGACAGCGGCTATCAAAGTCAGTCGTCAAGCTCCAGAACAGACTCGAAAGGAATTGCGCGGAATCCGTTGGAAGGCCTTCTAGCCCAGAGGGTGGCATGCGTGCAATGCGGCCACTCGGATGGGCTGTCCATGATTCCGTTCAACTGCCTGACTCTTAGCCTTGGACTCGACAAGAACCATCATGACCTGTATGAGCGATTAGACTCATACAGCAAGGTTGAGGCAATCGAGGGAGTTGAATGCCCGAAATGCACCCTGTTGAAAGCACAAAGACTCCTCACCACGCTCGTGGAGAGGTTGCAGGAGGGAGGTTCTACGAAAGAGCAACTGGGCGAGCCTCTGCGAAGACTAGAAGCTGTTCAAGCAGCCCTGGAGGAAGACGACTTTGACGAAGAGACGATCAGGGATCGCTGCAAAATCCCGGCGCAAAGCAGAGTCAATGTAACCAAGACGAAGCAAATGGTGATTGCGCGACCACCTCAAAGTCTGGTCATCCACGTCAACCGATCCGTCTTTGACCCGTCCACATTTAACATGATTAAGAATTCCGCACCCGTGAGCTTCCCGATGACGCTGGATCTGGGGCCATGGTGCCTGGGAAGTGCCGAACCAGAGAAGCCCGAGAAAGAAAAGGCTGCAGATGCAAAGAATGAGAAAGACGACGAAGAGCAGTGGCACCTGGACCCCATGTCCTCCATGGTGGCGGGAGACTTGGGAGAGTCGAGATTGACGGGGCCCATCTACGAATTGAGAGCAGCTGTAACACACTACGGACGACATGAGAATGGGCACTACATTTGTTATCGTAAATACCCGCCTCTCAGGCCAGAAAGCGTTGATGATGCAGGCGCTGCAGACAACAAAGAAGCTGCTTCGCCCGAGGTGGTTGACGACAAGCCAGCAGACCCGAATGCAGAAGAGACAACAGAGAAAAGCACCAGCAAGATCGACAGAGATGCATCTTGGTGGAGACTCAGCGACCATAACGTGTCACAAGTCAACGAAGAGATAGTCATGAGCTTGGCCCCCGGAGTGTTTATGCTATTCTACGAGTGCGTCGACCCCTCCATGATACTACAATCCGAAGTGGAAAACGGGGCCGCGGCGTTTACAAACACCGAGTTACAAGATGCCGCTGCGACAAAGCAAGACGAAAGCAAAGCGGTGAATGGAGCCACCGTTATCCCAGTAACGACGGTATTACTCCCGAAAACTGTTAAAGAAGAGACAACGCCGCCTTCAGAGGCAACAACAGTAGACACTGTGAAGGCTGAATCAAAGGCCGCCTCTGGAAACGCTTCGGAAGAAGGAGACAAGACGTCGTCAACATAACATTATTGGGGCGACATGCATTTTTTCTGTCTTCATTTTTTATTCTTCGTCTTGTCATATATACCTGCATAGCGACGGCGTTGGTGAGATTTCAAAAACAGGATCAGTGGGACTTGGGTTTTGGCGTCAATTATATGGAGGAAAGCGGGTTCAATGGGATATTTGAACGGTAGATGCTATGAATGCCGTAAACCGGCAAGAGATTGAATACCAATTTGCCACGGTGGATGCCATACGAGCAAGAATAATTTGTAGTGTTCCTCAGTGTACTCTGTGATTATTTCCAAGGAGTAAGAAAGAGAAGAAACAGAGTCGGGGTGTTTCGGCGTCCGATGGAAACAGAATGACCCATGTACTGTACGAGTATTACACGCCACGCCTCACTCTGCGTCACCTGTAACCGTTGCCGCGTGGTGCGATTTATTGGATGGATCGGGAGGATTGAAAGACGGGTTGCGCCGAGAGGAGACGACACAGCCACGCAGGACTAATTTGATGCCCATTGAATCCATACGATACCCAGTTTCTGTCTGTACTAGTAGCAGTAGTGTGAGTGATAGTCGTCAAGCCAAAGGACGACGCGTCCCGAGACGAGATTGTTGCACCACATAGAAAACGTGCGAGTAACGTGGGAAGAGAAGCAGAGTTGAGTTGACGATGTAGTATTAGCATTGATTGTTGTTGCTTCTGCTATTGTTGGATCGTGGTCTGGATTTCTGCGGGCAAAGCAACTACTGCACTCTAGCCTGGCCCCGGTCGCAGAATTATAACCCAAGCTGGAAAAGGCCCAGGATCCGACACGGCCAGGGAGCGAGAAACAAGCACTACACTAGACAGGGGCGCCTTGAATCTCGGCCCAATCGGCGCCCCGTCGCCAAGCACCATTGGCGCTTCTTCCCGTACAGATTTAGCGGTCATGCTACCTGTATGGCCGCTGTTGGCAGAAAGCTTGGCGGGCGAGCAAAAAACTTTCATCTGTGCCGTACAGAAATAGTGCTCACTCAGGGGCCCCCAAGACGGCTTAGGCGAGCATCCAAGGGGGTTGTTAGCATGGATTGATGTTAGTTAGCATGAGCAGGGCTCCAGGGGAAAGGGAACCAATCCATTCATGGGACCCCTTTTTTTTCTTTCCGGCGAATCCATCTGCTTGATGCAGGATCAGGTACGGAACAGGGGGGAGGGAATGCTTGAGCCAAGAGATTGCCTAGGTAAGGGAAAAAGAAGAGAAAAAAAGGCAATTTGTTAGCGATCCATGGATTGATTCTTGACTAGCTAAACGCGGCTAGATAAGATGAGGCAGCGTGAGAGAGATGGATGGGACAAGATCTGGTGGGTTATATTTGGGGGGAGATTTGGAGGTTTGAGGATTATACAGTAGTAGTACCACAAGTGCTGATGCATAGATAATGTGCTTGAGGGGCGATGAGATGCGATGCGATGCGACGCGGTGCACGTGTTTGTCCTCCATCAGCGGTGATGCCCTTTCAGACGAGTACGGAATAAGTACTGCAATCAAATTGGCGGGTGTTGGCTCTGCTCTGGTGGCCCGTAGATACGAGGTGCAAGCAGCTCTGCGGTGGAGATGGTTTGAGGCAGAGGCCCGCTAAAACAAGTTCAGCCACGGACGGGTTCCGGACGTCTTTGGAAGGGTACGGGAGCCGTGGCTACGACAGCTCGCTTCAGGTGGTGATCGACTCGAGCTCGTCTTTTTCGTCTTTTGGGCGTCGGCAAAATGCGATTGGACATGAAGAGGCAAAAGGCAAAAAAGGGCTGATACAACCAAAAGCGTCTTTGTTCGGAGGATGGGTGAATGTACCGGCAGAATACAGGAGGCAGTTGCCAATGTGGCCAGATGTAATTCAATGCAATGGAACTCTCAATTGGTCAATGTCAATATTCCAACGCCGGAATCTCCATCCCACTATTGACGCTATTGCCTTACGGAGGCACCAGGCATGTGCATCATCGATTTTTCTCGCTTGGAGCAACTCGCGGTTGCCGCCGTGCTAACTCTCTCCTTTGTACCTCTGCGCCTCTATCAGTGCGCGTAGTGCCAAGCGGTACTTCGTATAGAGTACTGGACGGTACTTTGGCCGTACCTACCTCTGTAGCGCGTGCTCCGGATACAGACACATGGACGCCTTGCGCCTACCAAACAGAACCGCGCATTCCCCAGCTGGGGCAATTCAAACAGACTCTGTGACGTGGAAGCTCCTTCCATGCCAACCAGAAGTGGCAAGCACGGTAGGTGCAAGGTAGCAGCAGTGCTTGCCGGTGGCTTACCTACAAAAGTACAAAAGTACAGAAGTACAGAAGTACAGAAGTACAGACTTAACTTTTGCCGTCTTGGACCGATCTGGACTGGTCAGCATCGTTCTTGCTCTTCATAAGTGCGGTACTGTGCTCTTTCCCTTCCCTCGCGCCGCCGAGCTTCCCATTCCTGGAGCCTTGCATTTTTGCCAGATTCCTTTTCTTTCCTTTATTCTTTGTCGCGCTCCGAGTGGTGATACGAGCGAACCATCGTCGACTTCGTTTTTGGGCCTTTTAATGCGCATTTGGATTTGACGTTCTCTCAGCTCTGCGGATTTTTTTGCCTTTTCTTTTTGGTCGAGTCGAAGCTGCATGATAATTCTTGATCGCCCGTTCTTTTTTCCCCTAGCCTGCGCCTTGTCTTGGCATTGGTGATCTTGACCGAAACCGCACACCCTGGTAGCTCTGCACGATACAGGAAGTCGAGGAAAGACGACAAACGGCCAGGCCAATTCTGAGCATTTCGCTGCGATTTTGGATCGGATTGAATAGGCGGATAATCACACCGTTGCGGCTTATTTTTGCTCGATTTACACCGTCGCCGACCGACTTTGTTGCGCCGTGTAACTCTTGGCGGCACAGCTCCAGACGCTGCGCAACGCTGCCAATCAATCTTGTTAACAGCGGCCATCGCACGACATCTCCGCTTCCACCTTTTCTTGTGTTGACGGGACCGGGCGGGAACGCCAAGGGAACTGTCACCTCTGCCGAGCTGCACAAGGACCACAATTGCCGGTGCCAAGCCAACCATGACCGTCTCAAATAGCAATGGCGGCTTGCTGCCCATGATGGAGGTTTTGCCCTCTGTCAAGTTCCAGATTCCGGTTTGGGCACACATAATGTAAGGAAGAATGCTCTCGTGCGGATGCTGTGCCTAAGGGGAGCTACGGATGGTGCGGGAATATTACGAATGGGAGCGCTGACTTGCCTGTAGAAATTGGATGTTCTTTTCGAATGTCACCATCATCTTCAACAAGTGGCTGATAGACACTGCTGGATTCAGTAAGTATCCAACATCCCCCACAGATGACGCAGTCTGGTCTTTCTGGGATAAAGAAGCTAACGAGCAATTACAGAATACCGTAAGTCGGACTCGCGTGGATTGCTTTCTGGGGAAGAAAAGAGAAAGAGGTTCTGTATTCGAGAGTCGTGTACTGACCGCTGATGACAGCCATTCTGCTTACTTGTTGGCACCTCATCTACGCTACCATTGCAACTCAGATCCTCGCTCGCACGACGACACTCCTTGACTCCCGCCGCAACTTTCCCATCTCCGGCCGTCTCTACCTCCGCACCATTCTCCCCATCGGCCTACTATACTCCGGCTCTCTCATCTGTTCCAATGTCGTGTACCTCTACCTCTCCGTCTCCTTTATCCAGATGCTCAAGGCAGCTTCTCCAGTTGCTGTGCTGTTTGCTTCGTGGTCCTGGGGCGTTGCCGAGCCGAACCTCTCCAAGTTCGTCAACGTCTTGGTCATTGTTTTTGGCGTTGCCGTATCTAGTTTTGGCGAGATTCAGTTTTCATGGGTTGGCTTCTTTTTCCAGATTGGAGGCACTTGCTTTGAAGCCGTTCGTGTTGTCATGATTCAAGTTATGCTCAGCGGCGAGGGGCTCAACATGGACCCCCTTGTCAGTCTCTACTACTACGCACCTGTCTGTGCGATTATGAACTTCCTCATTGCCCTAGTCAGTGAGATACCCAAGTTCCAATGGGAACATGCCGTCCATGCTGGCTTTGGAATGCTGTTCCTCAACGCTTCTATCGCCTTCATTCTCAACGTTGCCAGCGTATTCTTGGTAAGCTAGCCCACTTGACCCCTCTGCATACACGTATGCAGACCTTTTGCAATAACTCTGTTGAATGCTAACGGAATGTCCTTGTGCAGATTGGTAAAACCTCGGGTCTAGTCATGACCCTTACTGGCATCTTCAAAAGCATCCTGCTCGTGGTCGCTTCCGTCCTCATCTGGTCCACTCAAATCACCTTTCTCCAAACCGTGGGCTACACGATTGCTCTTGCCGGACTCACCTATTACTCTCTCGGCTACGACCAACTCGTCAGCCTTGGAACGGCGACACTTGCTTGGACAAGCGAATTTTTTGCAGCGAATGGTGGTGCAATGAGGTCAAAAAGACTCATTGTAGTTGGAATATCTTCCTTTGTGGCCGTAATCGTGGTGCTCGAGTTGACCATGAGCGAAAGGGGGAGGAGGATGCTAGCCGGCCCTTCATGGCATGGAAGGCATGGACATGGAGGTCAAGGAAGCCAATGATTGATATTTAATGATGTTGAAGATAAAAGCGAAACGATTTTAGCATTTGCTACGAGATGAGTATATGATGGGCGTAGCGAACCACAAAAAAATAAGAATAATACCCCTTTTAATTCGAGTTTGATCTATTCATCCAGAGGGTGTTCATGTCAAGCGAGCAACGACTTCATTAACAACTGCTTTTGGCTTTGTTGCCAGTCTTAAACGAATTCTCTTTGCTGAGCTCAGGTAAAAAAGCACCCCTTCGGGCTATATCTTCGTATCCCCCCTGTCCCTCCATTATCCAGGGTATAAAGTCTTCTCTCTTTCATGAAAAAGAAACCAAGCAATAGTACCGTTCCGTTGCTTCCAAACTGTAACTAGTCAAACGTGCGCGCACACATAACTAAGAAAAAAACATGGCATGCTCATGCTGTTCCATCTTCTGAAGACCTCATCGGCTCCTACTGCGACGGCGGCTCCGGCTTCGGTGTCTCTCTCGGCGGGGGGATAAGCTGCGGTCTCGTCTGGTCCGTCTGTCGCGATCTCGATCTCGGTCTCGGTCACGGTCACGGTCTCTGTCTCGGCTGCGGTCTCTCCGGTCCTTGTCCCGTTCCCTGTCCCTTTCCCTATCGCGGTCACGGTCACGGTCACGGTCTCTATCGCGGTCTCGTCGGTCCCGATCTCGATCTCTGTCTCTGTCTCTGTCTCGCTCGCGGTACCGGGTCCTATCCCGACTGTTGCTCCGCGATCTGCTCCTATGTCGATCGTCCCGGGCTCCAGGGGCATATCTGTCAACTGCTTGTCCATCACCCTTGTGCCGCGCGGCAAGTGTTCTCTCACCACTGTTCTTCTTGTCGTCCACGCCGGGGATAGGCAGGCCTTTCTCCCTGGCGTCCTTCTGAGCCGCCAGGTATGCTTTAGCCTCCTTCTCCCGCTTCTTGACTTCTTCGAGCTTCCACTCCTCGAGCTCGTCCTTGGAAGCTCCGTGCGGCACGGCGGATGATCCTGGTCGGGACCGCGAGCGGCTTCGTCGGTCGCTGGCGCGGTCTCTTTCCCGTTCCCGGTCCTTTCGGTCTCGATCCTTGTCTCTATCGCCGGATCGATCACGGCTGCGGCGACGGGGCGAGCGTGCGTCCGATCTGCCGGGGTAGTAGGAGTCTGCTGCGCCGCGACGGCTATCTCTTGACCGGCTGCGTTGTCGTCGAGCACGGGAACGGCTCCTATCGCGTCGATCAGTGCGTAGACGAGAACCGCTGCGGCTCCTATCACGTCGGTCGGTTCTTGTAGCATGTGAGCGTGAATGCTCCCTCCGGTCTCTGCTGCGATCCCTGCTGCGATCCCTACTACGGTCTCGTCGTTCGGTCTTGATTCGAGAACGGCTCCTCTCTCGCCTAGGAGATCTAGGGCGTGACCGGCTTCGAACTCGTCGCCGTGAGCTGCTTCTAGCAACAGATCGGTCGCGTCTAAACCTCGAGCGACTTCGCTCACGTCTGTCGTCTCTCCGGCGCCGAGATCGACTCCTGTCTCTTCGCAGCTTCGAACGGCTTCTATCCCTTCTATCTCTAACTTTGGAACGACTACGATCGCGCCTTGGCGAGTCTGAACGATGATCACGGCGGCGCCGTTCATCCGTATCTCGTGGGCGGCTTCGATCCCTATCCCTGTCGTTGTCTTTCTCGTGAGTTCGTGATGCGCTCCTGCTAGGAGGGCGCTCGTCCTTTGCTCCTGACAGTTTTGGGTCGATGGATGATTTGGAGTCTCTCCTTTCGCTTGGTTTTCTAGACTCTGCGGTCTTGGAGGAGTCTCTTCGAATCGGGTTAATGGCCGAAGCTGGGCCAATCTTCCTGGGAGGAGGGGCCAAGGTAGAATCAATCTCCATCTCGGTCTTTGTGCGTGTCGATTTGCTGCTTTCTCGCAACAGATCGGCCAAAGCCTCCTGTTCCAGTCGCTCGTGATCCTCCTTGGACATCTTCTCCTTCATCTCTTCAGACAGAACCACCTTCTCCTTGCGAGAGCCATCGCGATCGCGGTCACGATCGCGGTCACGGTCACGGTCACGGTCACGGCCCCTGTCTCTGTCTCTGTCCCTGTCCCGATCTCTATCTCTGTCGCGATCTCTGTCACGGTCGCGCTCCCTTTCTTCCTTCTCTCGTTTCTCTCGCTCCTTGTGCCGTTGCTCTCGCTCCAAGTCACGCTGTCGCTCTCTCTCTTCGCGCTCCTTCTCGCGCTTTCTTCGGCGCTCATCTCTTTCTTCTTGGCGTTTGAGTTCGGCCTTTTCACGCTCCTTTTCTTCTCTGCGGCGCTCTTCCTTAGCGATACGCCGCTTTTCCTCTTCAATAGCAGCTTCTTTCTGCTTCAGCTCCTCTCGTACTCTGTCGCGTTCGGCTTGCTTTGCTGCGGTGTCGGCGGCATATTCCTCGTCCGTCTTGGCTCCTCGTTTTTGCTCTTCGTTGGCGATTTCCTCACCGATCTCGGCTCGCCTGGTTTCCCGAATACTCTGCTCGATTGCGCCGACGTCAATCAGTTCCCCGATGACTTCCTCGGCCTTGTGATACACTCCCGATCGCTCCAACGCGCCATCGATAAGAGCTGCGGCCTTTCTACGGTCCAACGTCAGGAGCTGATGGGGATTGCGCTCGACTTCTTGCTCGGCCACCTCGAGAATGGCCTTTGTAACTTGAGCCTCGTAGTCCTGATGCCGAGAAAAGGAGAAATCAGTAATGCCCAGAAGAGAGAAAAAAAAATCAAGCTCCAATTATTCTGCATACGCTGGCTGCAAACTTGTCCCAAACCTGCTTCCGTATCGAATCGTAAGCGCCTTCTTTTTTGAAGCTATGTGCCAGAGACTCGATCGCCGCTCGTGTTGCAGACGGCAACGGCAGTTCGGAAGCCTTGAACTTCCGCGATGTCGTCTCCGCAGCTGATTTGCCTGCCATGTTTGTCTGTTCTGCAGACGTCGCCATTGTGCTGAATTTGCCCGCGCGTGGCGTGATGCGCGCGTCTCGTCTGGAGATGGAGAGTCGCTCTGTTCGAATCAAGACATGCCGCTAAATCGAAAAAGCGAATCGCAGTGCCCAATCCAGCCTCGTAATCAAATCAAATCGGAGGGCAAAACCTCTCTTGACACCTCCTATGCCATTTGTTGAAGGGAAGTTTCGTGTTGAAGGGCAGAAGTGGGAGTATCATCAGGTGAACGCCTGCTCACGTGACAGCAATCGTACGTTTGTATTCAACGATTCAGAGCGGGAGCAAAGGCGTCATTCGATAGGTGAAGTGGGCGATTTTGCTCTTTTTTTATGGCGATTTTGCCTTTTTGTTTGTGAAAACCTACAATTGGTTGAATGCAACCTTGTTGTTACATTGGGAGACTTATAATTGCTGAGCCATGCCCGGTTAACAACATGTACCCTGCACTGCCTGCCAATATTTGCCTTTGACTTATTCGCAGCCTTGGTATTGTCTAGGTAATTATACAGCTGAATAATTATAGTCATGAGAGTCAACCTATCATTTATTATATAGCAACAATACTGAAATTTTGACTGTATCTCGCTATCGAATCTGCATCTGTAGCTTATGCTGGCTGCTCATGCTCTGCAGCAACATCACGAGTATCCTAACTATCACTATCAAGGCTATTTCTATGTAGTTCAATTTGGATATTAACTTAGATGGGGCAACCACGGCCAAGAATGGAATCTGTAATACTGTCATGTACTTGTCATTGTAATATATTCATTTCATGCTATATCAACTACAGAGCAAAAATCCTAAATCAGCCAACTAGATACCACTCAATGCTCTGCTTTCTAATAGAGAAAAAGAACGGATAGTTTCAGGGCTATTCGTGCACGCATATGAATGAAGGCATAGTCAGGTGTTGTCGTTCCATCATAAAGGTCGTTGTAGCGGGGATTTTCTTCTTCTTCCTTGTGCTGTCGTCCACAGGAGATATGTACTGATATCTCTCCCATCTTTTTCCTTTGCCCCTTTCGTTTCTCACTGGTATACATGGTCCGTTTTGGGCCGTTCTCATTTCGTTTTCCGTTTAAAACTCACCATCACCACCGTGTCCAACCATGTTGGCCATCCAGAGACCAACCAGTCCCCACCAGCCGATTCGCCATCCCCTCCAGAGACCTTCCATGCCCTGACCCTTCTTGTAGGTTGGTAGGAGGTTCTTGGTCTTGACCTTGCCTCGCTTGCTGATCACGGGCTTGGGTGGGATCTCCCGAGTGCCTTCTTCGGTAACGATGTGGTACATGGTGCCGAAAGTGCCATTGTATTTGCCAATGGGTACAATGGTTTCCAACGCCGGTTCACCGTCATTGAGAGCCTCCAGGTACTCCGGTTCGGAAAGCACAGAGAGTTGGCCTCGGCGCAGTACAGTCTCCAGGGGAAGCTTGATCAGAATTCCCACCGATGAGGCGAAAAACTTGGCGGCGGAGAATGTCATGGGCGCAATTTCGCTTGTGATCATAAACTTAGTCTTGAGCGCCAATGGGGTGGAGAGAGTGAAGATGGGGTTGACGAGAGAGTGAAGAATGGTGGGGACGACAATGGTGGAAGGGCAATAGTAAGATGGGAGGGCTCGAAGGCTTGCAATGGTTCTTCGCTGTCCCTTGAAGGGGTTGGTGAGGATTAACCTGTGGCCATGTCAGTATGATGAGAGTAAGTAGTTGGTTTTGCAGCTGTATCATATACCTCGTGCGTATGAGATCTAGAGGCGCAAGGGCGAGGCTGGTTGTGACTGCAGCGGCGGCGGCCACGAGCAAGGAAGCCCAGGGATATGGGGACGCAATGTCAACAAGACGCTCAATGTTGTCCTTGACACCCAGGTCTGGCACGTTGAACACTGCACTCAGGAAGCTTCTTGACCAATTCTCCAACAGAGACTGCAAGACGGTGTACAGAAAGGTTGCATTTGCTCCCTTCCATACCCCCCATGCGCCGTCCCTCTGCCATAGCTGCCCAATGACGTCAAGAATAGCATCAGACCGACGAAGATTCAAGAAGTGCTCCGGCATGACGGGCACCTTTTTCGGTGTCGTGGGAGACTGTAATGGAGATTCTGCACGCCGGCTACTGGGTCGCTTCTCAGGCTGAGCCTGGCTGGGGCCCCAGGGATTGGGTATGGCGGGATCGCTGGATGTGAAATATGCCGGTTCCTCGCCATCAGATTCCTCCTGTGCAATTCTTCATTAGCTCAAAGAAGACGACAGCTAGAGAGTACCCCCGAAAGACAACGCTTACATCAAATGCCGAGCCAGCTCGACTTGATACCTGAGGGACGGGGGCAGGGGTTTCTGGTTCGGCAGCCACCGTGAGAGCAGCCTTTTCATCTTGATCCCGAGCCTGCAGGATCATCTTGGCAACCTCAAAAGGCTGCCCGATCAAGACGGACATGTATTTCCATATCAACTCATCGACGAGTTCCCTGGCACTTTCGACAACCGACGGCGAGGGTTCGCCAATCAACTCCTTGTAGTCGAGATCATTCAGCATGTGCTTCGCCTTGGAGGCGTACTTCGCACCACTGGCGACATCGTAGCTGTTGCCACCAGAGAACGGATTCGAGCTCGGGATCGATACCGGTTCTGCCCGCTCCTCGATTGTGGGAGGCCGGTAATACGGCCGCAGGGGATTGGGGGTAAACTCCTTGGGGGATGACATGATTGATTTTAAAAAGAGAGAGATTCCAGATCTCTACCTTTTTTTAACAACCCAAGTTGGGCTCCTGTGGTTGATAAAAATGCAGTCATTGGCAAGCTGGGGGGTAGCTACCACTCCGGCGGGAATCTCCCCGTTAGTTACATATTGCCGCCGATAAGCAACTCTTATCACGACGGAGCGGCCAATTCCCAATAGTCACAAACAGCTTCGGAGATGCGACGGCCTAAAATAATTAATAGCGAACCAAAGACGGTTTATTAACGAGCATGTCCGGCTTTGCTCTTTTGTGATTCTCTCGGCTATCAAAGTGCTACGGCCTTGTCTTTGGGCGCTGGCGACCATTCAACCCAGGCCGATCCCAATTTGCGACGCTCTTGCACCGGGTTTTCTTCCTTAATCCCAGATTTATTTTCTCGCTGCCACCGAATTCCGATCAAGCGCTCCACATGTCGGCCTCAAGATCGCTCTCACGAAGCCTTGCGAGGCTGTCGCAAGCGGGATGCCGTCGAGCTCCCTCCACGAATGCGCCGTATAGAGGCTTGACCGTCTTAACGAGCCCTTTTCTTCGATCCGTACCTACATCGCGAGCTGTTCAATCTCTTCAATTGTCTCCGAGCCGTCGCGCATTCTCTACAACAACCCAGCGGCGGCATGGCCATGTCACCCCGCCAAAGCCTGGTGAAGAGTGAGCAGCAATGCAAATCTACACACACAAAGAAAAAAGAGTTTTGGCTAACATTGATGTAGGCTCTGGGTCACATTCATTGATAAGGAAGGCGAGGAGCACAAATTCGCCGTTTCAGCTGGCGATAACCTGCTCGACATTGCTCAGGCCAACGATCTGGAGATGGAGGGTGCCTGCGGAGGATCATGCGCATGCTCGACTTGCCATGTGATCGTAGAGGGAGAAGACCATTTTGACAAGATGCCCGAGCCCGAAGACGACGAGAATGACATGCTGGACCTCGCTTTTGGCCTGACCGAGACCAGCCGTCTGGGCTGCCAAGTTATAATGACCAAGGAGCTGGACGGCTTGGTGGTGAGGCTGCCTTCTATGACGAGAAACATGCAAGCGAGCGACTTTCAATGATTGGGGCGGGAGTCGTTTGATGTGAATACGATACGGCATACACCACACAGAAAATTGGAAACCCTGTATAATATTGAACAAAATAGAAGCGGTGGAAATGGGTCGGCGAGCCTCGGGGTTGGGCGCAAGCATTTTGCCCAAGGGGGGGGGTATCTTTGGGGTAAAATTTTGTATACCTAGTGATGAGTACTGTAGATCTGAAGACAGGCCGAACTTCGCTCCCTGTAGAGATACATATTGCAAAACAAGAAAAAAAAATTACAAAGAAAGACAAGACATATCCGTTACGCCTCTTCCAACGGAGTCTTTTTTAAGCCGCCTCCTCCCGATGCAATCAAGTCCAAAAAGCCCTTCTTACTCATCTCATTGACCTTTTCCTCCCTCGTCTTATGGCCGATGACGCCCTCCTTTCTCACTGCCCTCTCCGCCTCAGCAGCCTGTACCTGAGAGGCTCGTACGGCATTGAACATGCGAATCACACCTCTCTGCGCCGTCTTGCGCAGCGTCTTTTCGATCGCCAACATTTCCGAAGTTGTCATCTCCGGCTCACCCGACTCGTCCACTGTCGCCACCAGAATGTCCTTGATGCGGCCCTTCTCCAGCGCGACTCTCTTCTGCTCCTTGAGCTTCCTCCTGGCCTTTTGCTCGAGCGCAATATCTACGGCGGCCTTGGAGGCCTCGTGGGCGGCTGCGCTTCGAGACAGGACGGGGTCGGATCGTTTTGACGCGGAAAGCTTGGTTGATAGAATCTTTGAAAGCGAGGTTGCGAAAGCAGTGGGGTCATTACGTTTTGACTTTGTCTTTGCTGCGCCTACATCGAGGTCCATGTCGTCGTCGTCATCGTCATCGTCATCCTCCTCGCTCTGCTCCTCTGCTTCATCATCCTCCTCCTCCTGCTGCTCAGCTTCCGGCTCTGGTTTTTTCGACTTTGATTTTGACGTCTTGACATTGGTCTTTTTTACAACGGGCGCCTCCTCGTCGGAGCTTGAGGAATCGTTCTCTCCAGCGTCGGCGACATCGTCCACGGGCGCATTGTGAATATCATCGTCGGAATCCAGCAGGTTGACCGCGTCAAACGTCTGCTGCTCCTCTTCGTTTTCCGAGTCGCTGTGGTATGCTTGTGCTTTTCGCTGCTTCTTGGTCGGGCGATGTGACTTGTTGTCGTTGCGCCGTTTATTATTTTTTAGTCCAGCCATTGTGTTTGAATTGCCCGTTCCAGATATACCAACAGGTAAGTTTGATGACTTCCGTCTCTGGACTTTTTTCTGAAAAATCAAAAGGTCTGGGATAATTTTGCCAGATCCAACTTTTTTCTCTGGAGCAACGGTTCACATTGGGGAAGGCGGTGAAAGTGCCCCGCTAGGAAGCTCTAGAGGTACGTACCCCTGGCAGTCCGGATGACTTACGGCCAACCGTCGCCAAACCCCGAGCCTTTTGATCCTACAGGATTCCCAAGGCTCACTACGAAGTACTAGCAGAAGGAGAGTCTCACGATGAAGCATATTTAACAGACACACACAGCGCGCTTCTACGGAGTCAGAATCTATCACACAACCGTTGGCTGTTGTATTCCTCTCCAACATATCTTCTCTTTTGTCTCACTTGCTTCAACGAGCTCCGGACGGGATCGGCTTTTTGCGGGGCATCGCCGGTGCCAGTCGGACGTCATCAAAGCTTCAGCCCAATTCGTTGGATTATTGCAATCGCCGGTCCGGAGTGCTTCATAAAGGGCTGCTTCATAGACAGCTGTGTTCTGCTCAGCCGGCAGAGTTTGGCTAAGCCTTGTGAGAGAACTGCAGAGCATCCGCGTATCATTTCAGGAGACAACCAGCAGCCTTTATCTCAAAAGCCATGTTTGGCCAGTACACGCTCGAAACCAGCCCGGGCGATGGCACCTATCGGGTACCAAAGCTCAATCACAAGAAGTCGCGATATGGCTGCCAGCGATGTCGCACGCGGCGGGTAAAGTGCAACGAGGCAAAGCCCACTTGCCAGCACTGCGAGCGGCACCGGGCCAAATGCATCTATGATCGTCTTCCACAGAAGAAGACCGGCCAAGACCGATCTCCGGGCTCATCATCACAGCCTCAGCCCAGTGAATCTGGCATCTCAGAGACCAGTTCTGACAAGCCTTCTCCTTTGTCGTCGGTGGACCCGCTAGACGAAGATGCCTTGGAATCGAAGCAGCGACGGCTGTTGGAGGCGAGGTTGATGCATCTCTATCTCACCGAGACTGGGCCCTCGCTTCCTATTGACGACAAGACTTACAAGATATTCGCCAATTTGGCTCCCAAGATGGCGTTGGACTCTGAAGCTCTGCTATATGCCATATATGCTCTGGCGGCTATCCACGCGCTCATATGCAAGTTAGACAACTCCTTTGATGGACTCAATGTACATAGACGATACCTGGCAATGGCTCTGCATGAACACCAAAGGGAGATTACCAAACTCAGCGAGTCCAACTTTGAGGCCGTGTGTCTCACGTCGCATTTGCTGCGCATCTGCACATTTGCCACGCTGCGGTACCGAAATCGTGAACCATACTCTCCTCCTCTGGAGTGGATATTGATCACGGGGACAACGCAAGCCCTCTTTATCAAGGCTTGGGGCATCATTTTGGCGCATCCGGGGTCGTTCGTGTCGGCGATGACGAAGAGTACGCCCATCCTTTACGATACCCAGGCGAGATATGATCCAGCGAACCGGCAGGGCTTGGAGTACTTGCTCGAAAGGGACGCCAAAGATGTAGTGTCGGAGCCGTGGGACATGGAGATCCAGGACGCATACGAGACGACGCTCAGCTACATCGGAGGGGTCTTGCTGTTGCTGCATCCCAGAGACGGCAAGATTCAGCTTGACGAGGCGAGGCGGAGGATGGTCATCTTCCCCATGGTCGTGAAGAAGAAGTTTCTCGACCTCACGCAGCAAGTCTGCCCGAGGGCCCTGGTGATTCTGGCATATTATTTCTCGATGCTGGTCATTGAAAACTTGTGGTGGGTTGGCGATGTGGGGAAGCAGGAAGTGCAGGACATTTCAAAGAACTTGCCGGCCAGGTGGCAGAAGATGCTGGAATGGCCATTGCGAGTGGTAGAGAGAGGAGCAATTCTGCCGATATCACCATGTAGGTAACCACGTGTGTGGGATGAGGGTGTAAATGATGGATTTTGCTACATATAAATAACGAGTACTAAGTCGCCCCATTCTGCCAACGTATGACCATTTATATACCCTGCATGTGTCCAAACCGGATCAGTCCATCTTCTATACGCATATGCGTAAAATTACACTGCATGAACGTGCTTCTTCGTTCTCGGGTCGGATATTCGCATCTGCAGGACGGGATGTCGTTCTCGCTCTTCCAAATCAGGCTTAGCTGCACCATTGTAAGCGCATGTCTCTTTTGAGCTTCGCTTTCGCTCCGCCAGTAGCGTCATCACCACACCAGCGACTTACACTCACTACGTAGTAAACGAGATTTGTAACGTGATAGAAAATAACTCCAAGTATTTCTATTGCGGAAAAGGGAAATCGATAGACTTACATCGAAGTTATCCGCGACATGTGGCGAGCTAGTCCTCGGATTCGCTTCGAACGCGAGCTTCGAATGCGAGAGGCTCGGAAAAGACATCTCGGGATATTGGGGAGACTCTGTGATGAGTTCAAGAAACGGCATCACGCAGCAGATGAAATTTCTATATAAACATTGGATTTATTGTATCATCATCATGTTTCTGCATCAGATATCCAGTACAATAAACTTGAGTCGAGACATCTATCAAGCATACATCACCTACATTAACTTACAACACCCCCATACTGTCTTAGCCTCTCAGACCTTACTTTACATCAAACATACATCGTCAAAATGGCAGAGGAAAACAAACAAGGTTCGCCCATGATCAAGCTAAGCACCGACCAAAGCTTCCACTTCGAAATCCTCCGCGCCGTCTCCATCGCGCCCTACCAAGGCGCCGACCTCGGCGAGGTTCTCACAGCCGCTGCCAAAGTCAAGCCCTGCGACTTTGAGAGCTATTACACTGCCTTTCACGACCTTGCCGTTCGTGTGCACAATCAAGCTGAGAAGATCGACGTGGCCAAGTATCCCGTTTCAGCGAGGCAGGCGTTTTTCAGGGAGGCTACGTATCTTCGTACGTCTGAGTTCTTCCTTCATGGGAATTGGGAGGACCCGCGTATCAACTCGGTTTGGAAGAGGCATAGGGAGGCCTTTGATAAGGCTATTGCACTTCTTCCTGTTCCTGGCGAAAGGGTGACGCTCAAGGCTGAGGGGTTCGATGTGCCGGCCATCTTCTATGGTTGTGGACAACCCGGCCGCCGTGCAACCATTCTCATGTGCAGCGGCTATGATGGCTCCCAGGAGGAGCTGTACCATGTCGCCGTCGAGGCTGCTCTTGTTCGGGGTATCAATGTCATAACATACGAAGGGCCAGGCCAACCCACTGTCCGCCGAGAGCAAAACCTAGGTTTCATCCACGATTGGGAACGAGTCGTGTCCCCTGTCGTCGACTACGCCCTGACGAGAGATGATGTAGACCCCAATGCCATTGGTCTCTGGGGATACTCTCTAGGCGGATATCTCGCCACCCGTGCCGCAGCCTTTGAGCCTCGCATCGCCGCCGCCATGGCCATCGACGGCGTCAGCGACTTTGGCGAAGCAATTCTCCAAAAGTTCCCCCCTGAACTGCTCAGCCTTTACAAGGCCGGCAACAAAGAGGCCGTCGACCAGGCCGTGGTCTCCGCCGTGTCAAACCCGGAGGCGCCTACTTCGTTCCGCTGGGCCATTGAGCAGGGCCTGTGGGCGTTCAACACCAAGTCGCCATATGAGTGGGCGACGAAGTGCATGGACATGAAACTGGGTGATGCGATTCACAACATTAAAGTCCCGTTCTTCGTGGCTGATGCAGAGAATGATGATTTGTTGCCTGGACAGGCAAAGATTGTTGCTGAAACAGTCGGAGAGCGGGCGACGTATCATTTGTTCACTGCTGAGGATGGAGCGGGTGAGCATTGCTCTATTGGCGCGGCTGTGCTCCAAAACCAGGTCGTGTTTGACTGGTTCCAAGAGGTGGTGTCTGGAAACAAGGCTTGAAGATGTGATGGTGTGAGGATACTTGATTCGAGATGTTCATGACAGTTAGCAAGCAGGCATTGTGTAAACAAATTCAGAGTAGCACATAGTGAGCGATATGCTTAACAAAATTGTTTTCCTACATGACCTTTCAACAGAAATCAGTTTTCATAACCCTGTTGTTCCCCACATATAAACATGGGCCTTGCTGCGTCCCAAACAAATTGACCAGACAGGTCATCCATCCACGGCTTCCCATCATCCAAATTCCAGAAAAAATAATAGAAACGACCTTAGAATCACCCCCATCAGCTGACAAGTGACATACAAAATCTCCCCAGACAGACGCCAAACAAACTCCAAGGTCTTATTCCGTTATGCAACGGGGCTACCAGCCCCTAATCCTATCCCAAAAAGAACCTGAAGAAGCCTTCTTCTCCTCTTCAGGGGGAACTGGCGGTGCTGTTATGGTCGTGTTCCATTTCTCCTCGCCACTGATGAAAAGCCGATAGAGAAGCTTGCTCTCACCGTCTTCCTCTTCGATGGTGAATGAGCCAAACTTGGACATGCCAGAGTGGTGGTATCTTTGATTGCTGTCAGAACAATTCTCTCACGATAGGGGGTTATGAGGTGGGCCAAACTTACTGGATCAAAACGTCCTCATCGTCCACCTGCGAATATGAAGGAATCGGTGACGCAAACTGGTTGAGTGGGCTGGTGGAAAACTCATAGACGGTAGACTCTTCCGACCAGTCGGATTCTGGAGGAGGCGGGAACTTTGTTGCAGCGAATTCGTGCCTGTCTCCGGACAAGACCACGACTCCAACTCCGCGAGCAGAGACATCCCACATAGCTTCGAGAATCTTCTTCCTTTCAACCAAGAAGCCGCCCCAGGTGTCCTTGACGTTCACGGGCCAGTTCTTGGTGAAGGGAATGGACGATGCCACAAACTTCCACCTGACGCCTTTGGGCTCTGGCCGTCCTAGCCAGGCCAAAAAGTCGGCCAACTGATCGGCACCCAGCATTGTCTTCTCCGTCTCATTGAACGGCAGCTTGTTGCTGGATCTGTAACTGCGAGTGTCAAGCATGAAGAAGCTCGCAGGGCCCTGCACAAACTCAAACCATGTAGCACCCTTGCGACGCTCACTCTTGGTACCGGCAGTCACAGCACGGGGAGGGTTGATCTGAGCCTGGTAAATGTGCCACGGGTCTACAGCATTCTGGTATACCCCAGTAGTGTTTGCATCCCAGTCCTATGTGCCCTCGTAGTTAGCCAAGAAAGAAACTAATCAGCGCGGTACTGGTGAAGGGAGGAAATACATTCGCAATCTCGTGATCATCCAAGACATGAATCCAGCTCAAATTCTGACCGACAGGAGCCCAATCCTCAGAAGCATACACCTGCCGGTACTGCATACGGTACTCGTCGACCGACTTGCCAAAGCGCTCGGGAACATCAACATAGATGAAGTCGCCTAGGAAAAGCATGAACTGCGCGCTCAACTCGGGAAGTCGTTTGGCAAGATTTCGCAATCCTGGAATGGCAAGCGGATGATCCAAAGGCGAGTAGGGGAATCGCGGCAAGATGCACGAAGTAGACAAGAAAGTGTATTTCCCTCCGTTTTGACTTGGCATCTTGCCGGGTTGCGGCGCAGCAGTAAGCTCACCCGAATGGTTGTTTGAGGTCCGCCACTCATACTTTTGCTGCTCTGCATAGCTCAAGAGCGGAATGGTAAGAACGCTGGTGAAGTCTGTCTCGTTGGAGGTGCTCTTGACGCTGCCGACGGATTGCCAAATGAGACCGTTGTAGTTTCGGATCTGGAAAGTGACGGGCATATTGGCCTGATCAGGTTCTCGGATGAGAAAGTTGGCCTCTTTATGAGAGACATATCCAAGTCGCACAAAGGACAGGTCATTAGCTGGATAATACCATCTGGCGCGATACAAGGCGTCGGCAGTAAGGCCAACGAACGCTAGGTTGATGAGAAAACTCAGCAAGGAGCTGAAGGGACGCTTTGCACTGGGAGCACCGTAAAAGATGATTTTCCAGGCCGGTACATCTTTTCCAGCATAAGAAATCGTTTCCTGAACGTCGACCTCTTCTGCGACAAGCTCTTGATCTGAATCATCATCCGGCGTGACTACGGTTTCTTTGACAGTGATGTCGACTTGATCATCGACGATTTCAAGTTCAGGTGAAGAAAATAAGCTCGTCAAGAAAGCTGGGATATATATGGCAAATAGGGCGAAGATGATAGATGGTAGTCGAGCCTAAGCGTGGTTAGGCAGGCATGTTTTACTTACGTTCACGGTCACCCAATGAACCGTGGTGAGACTTACAGGAAACTATATTGGGCGTCAGTTGAGGGTCAAAAAATGAAACATTACGTGCACCTGGCGAGAGGCGAGAAAGCATCACGTACAGCACGGAAAAAGAGAATGGCTCCTATCCTGATAGCGACCGAAGACGCATTTGCGATGGTTCTTTGGACGGCCATCTTGAGCAAGATGCCACTTCCGCCCCCGCAGAGTCAGACGGCTGAGGCTCACTTGGGGGGAAGCAAGTCACTTGTTAGCGGTAACCAGGGAGGGGCTTAAAGAGGCGTAAAGCAGGGAGATGAAGCTGGAAAACGACTCCAATCACCACATGGCGATATCGCGAAGATGAAGAAACGAGAATGTACAATCGACGTCACCTCCAATAAGAACAAGAATAACAACACGGGAACACGCCAATAATATAGCGGTGTCTCAGGCTGTGGCTCAAGCGGTACGTATTCGAAACGCTGCTAAGGCGCTGTCCCGCTATTGCAGGCGATCCAACGCTGGAGCTAGTGGGATAGGCATCAATGCAGCGGCCCTAGTGGGCAGTAGGCAGGAGGATCAGGGGACGGCAGCTGCGAAATTCCGTTGCCGAGTAGCAGCAGGTATTTGGGTACTTGGGTACTTTAATTGTGGCTGGTGGCGGGCAGAGGGTGGCTGGTGCACTGCACTGCTCCATGGGCTTGGGGCCAATGTGTCGTGTCCCATTCAAGCATCCCTGAAACCAGTCAGTCCTCAACATCGTTGACCTGCACAACGACAAGATGAGATTGCCGACGCTGGTAGCTGGCCTGATTGGCCTCATGGCCACCAATGTTGCCGCTACAGCATTGACCTACAAGCTGACCGCCAACGAACTGGCCTGCTTCTATGCCTCCACGAAGAACGAAAACGAGAAGATTGCCTTTTACTTTGCTGTTAGTGCCGCCGCATTGCATCGAGGCGATACCCGTTCCGCGCATATATTAACTTCCGAGGTGCATTAGGTTCAATCCGGTGGTTCGTTCGATGTCGATTACTCTGTCGAGGGACCTGGTGGAAAGATCATCCTTCAGGGCGAAAAGGAGCGACAGGGCGACTTTGTCTTCACCGCGCAGGTAGTTGGTGACTACAAGTTCTGCTTCGACAACGATATGAGCACATATACTGATAAATTTGTCGATTTCGAAATTGCTGTAAGTGCCGAATGGGGATTTGCAAACAGGCCACCGTAGCTAACCACATCAATGCAGGTCGAAAACGAGTCTCGAACCGCCCAGCTCCCCTCTAAGCAGGGTTCATCGCCAGAGCAGACATCCGTTCTCGAGGAATCCATCTACAAGATCTCCGGCCAGCTTTCCACCATTTCCCGAAACCAAAAGTACTTTAGGACGCGGGAGAACCGCAACTTCAGCACCGTGTCCAGCACAGAGAAGCGCATTGTCAACTTTAGCATGATCCAGATTGCTCTGATTGTCTGCATGGGAGCACTGCAGGTGTTTGTTGTCCGGTTCTTCTTCCAGGGTGCTCGCAAGGGTTACGTTTAAGCGAATAGTGTTCTTTATTATGCAACTGTACGGAGGGACAGTCTGGACGGCAAGCAACAGGCTACAGGTTGACATGAGGACGGATGGTATGGATGGATATGAGCATTTCTATGTGCAGGGATAGCTCGGCCAGCGTGGCCAGAAGTTTACGGCGATGGGCGTGTTTTGTAGCCTGAAAATGGCTGGTGAAGAGCGTCATGGGAGTTACCTTGGCAAGCTAATGAAAAGGAGGCGCTATTTAAAAGAAGAATACAATTACAGACCCAACCTCATTGTTCTATCAGCTCGTGATTCTGCCAGTATGTACATACATACTGACGGACAGCTACAGACAGCCGCGTCTGGGTGACAGGGGAATCATTATTCCGAGGCTTCTAGCCTCAAGCCACCTTGCGGAGCCTTTGCTCGGATCCACCCACCGCCTGCTTGAATGCACAATCCCTGTAATCAGCCACACCTGCACCGCCGTACTTCGAATTTCTCGACCAGAAGCTGGCATCGCAACTTACAGGCTTCAACATCATCTCACGCGACGCCCAAAATGACGTCCATGGCCGCATCGCTGCAGGCGTCGCTCCCCAAGCCGAAATACACCGGCGAGGATGAGGAAGCGCCATCCAGGACGCAGCAGCGTGGCCCTCGTATCGTAGGGCCCGGCCAGCTGGACGAGACGCAAATCGTCCTCAAGCGAAGCGGACCTCCCCCATACGGCCAGCGAGCGGGATGGCGACCTCGCTCGCAGGAGGATTTCGGCGATGGCGGCGCATTTCCCGAGATCCCTATTGCCCAGTACCCTCTGGACATGGGCAAGAAGGGTGCGAAGACGAGCAATGCCTTGGCGCTCCAAGTCGATGCCGAGGGCAAGGTCAAATACGACGCGATTGCGAGACAGGGTCACGGCGAGGGACGAATCATTCACACATCTTTCAAGGATCTGATCCCGCTGAGGCAGCGAGCCGACGCTGGAGAGATTGATCTATCGCGTCCGGACAAGGAGTCTGTGGAGGCAACAACGGAGAGAACCAAGAACGCGTTGGCAGCCCTCGTCAGCGGAGCAGTGGCGGCACAGAAGCCAAAGAACCTCAACATTGGACAGCGAAAAGACCCGACATTTGTGCGATATACGCCGGCAAACCAGATGGGAGACAACTCCAAGAAGCAGGACCGCATCATGAAGATCGTCGAGCGGCAGCGAGATCCGATGGAGCCTCCGAAATTCAAGCACAAGAAAATCCCCCGCGGTCCTCCGTCACCACCTCCTCCTGTTATGCACTCCCCCCCACGAAAGCTTACAGCCGAAGATCAAGAGATGTGGAGGATCCCGCCTCCGGTATCGAATTGGAAGAACCCCAAAGGCTTCACGGTGCCCCTGGACAAGCGTTTGGCTGCAGACGGACGAGGCTTACAAGATATTACGATTAATGATAAGCACGCACAGTTTGCAGAGGCCATCAAGATGGCAGAGCGCCATGCCCGAGACGAAGTCCAGCAGAGAGCCCTGATGCAGCAGAGGCTAGCGGAGAAGGAGAAGGCTCATAAGGAAGAAAACCTGCGGTCTCTGGCCCAAAAGGCGCGCGAGGATCGAGCTGCTGCTGGGCAGCGTGGAAGAAGGGATTCGAGGGATTCGCGAGACTCACGAGAGTCGGGATCAAGATCACCATCACGGTCAAGCTACAGCGGCTCAGAATCCAGGGGCGGTTCTGATAGCGAAGATTCAGAGATTCGGGCTCGAGAAAGGGCACGAAGGGAGAAACGAAAGGAAGACGAGCGCAAGTTGCGACAAACACGAATGGGTGCAGAGCGACGAATCCAGGTCATGGCGCGAGAACAAAATCGAGACATATCCGAGAAGATTGCTCTGGGCATAGCCAAGCCTTCACAATCCAAGGAAACCATGTACGACTCTCGACTGTTCAACCAGTCCAGCGGGTTCGATAGCGGATTCAACGAGGACAACCCCTACGACAAGCCCCTCTTTGCTGCTCAGGATGCCATTAACAGCATCTACCGGCCGCGAGCAAACCTGGACGAGGAGGATGCAGAAGCGGGCGATAAGGAAATGGCCAAGATCCAGAAATCAAGTCGATTCGGCGAAGCACTGGGCAAAGGTACCTTTAAGGGGGCCAGCGAAGCAGAGGTCAGTTTTTCTTGGACATTCTTCCCCCATTCTTCCCCTCCTTCTACTCTTGTCGTTTTTGTAACATTGCTAACTGATTGGAAATAGGCACGAGAAGGACCCGTGCAGTTTGAGAAGGATGCGGTAGACCCCTTTAATGTGGACAAATTCTTATCTGAGGTGGACCAGAACTCCTCTTCCAAGAGAGGATATGGACTGCAGGACGAGGATCGGAAAGCGAAGAAGGCTCGCGTGGAGGAAGATGACGATTAAAGCGTACATGTACTATTTTTTTTAGAGATGCATTATCATGTCCAATACTAATGAGATGATGGCAGTATCGCGTCTGCTGCTTGGGTATTCAGGGGTCAATATCTTTTTGGTTTCGTCGGTGTCATAGTCCACTGTGCTTGGTTAAAGGTATATGGAATGGAAAACAAATAAAAAGAAGACAATTTGTCGATATGATGATTTTGATGCCATTCGGACAAGAACAAAGGGGTTGGTGTTTATATAATCTGTAGCACCTTTTAACGCTTGAAGACATCACATGTGAAGAGCAAAGCTGTCCGGCATCACACCATCAGAATACCGAGCCCACTCACACTTCGTATCTAGCACACTTTGCTTTTGGCTTTTTGCACTGCCACCCCGTCTCTAGCTCACCTTTTCGTTTATCTCCTTTTCTTCTTCTCCTTTTTAGCCAAGGCCCAATGGTAAGCAATCTGCCAGGGAGGAGAAAGAGAAGAATATGTCGAAATGGCGGCGCTTTGGTTCTATATGGCAGCTGTCAGTCATCTTGTACAATACGAGCCAGCACCATAAATAGCTACAGAGTTTCAATGACGCGTCATTGTTACAGGCTGTGTCGATCCAGGTCCCCAGTTTTCGCTTCTAATCCGCTTTTTGCACGATTTCCGGTTGCAGCTTTGCATTTTTTTTTTTGGCTGGCTTGTTTTAGGCAGAGGTTAGTCAGGGCAGCTACGGGAGTGTCTGAATCTGGCGACTCGACACGGCACGTTTTTTTGGTGACGGGGAAGCGGCATTTGGTCCAACCCCGGGGGACCATTGGAATGAATCGTTGGCTGTGCCGCAGTATCCGGCGTTGTTGTGTATGGAGTAAGATAGGCAATGTGACGGTAGATGCACCAAACAGAAAGGGTGAGCAGGAGATCTCATGTACGAAGTATGAGGTCAATCCACCTTTTTTGTGTTTATTTTTTTTTTTATTTTTCTTACTTCTTACACTACACCTCGTATCCGTGTTTGCTGGAGCATTGTGCTTCTCTTCTTCATCCTCCAAACTGCCAGTGTCGCTCGTTTCTACCTCTCTCTCTTCTTTTATTCTGCGATATCTCCAGCGTGGATACATACGATACGCATTTATCAGGACGAATACGCTCGTTGGGAGTTGCTTGTTCCCAAAGTGGTTATCGCCGGTGATATTAACCGCCTACACTCATTGGCTGGGATTGGCATCCTTCGATTGATTCCAATCGTTAGTTGGTTCGCTGATTTGAATTTTTAATTTACGGTATTGCACGCCTTTCGACAAAACTAAAAGCGAGAAGCATATCCGCCCCTGTTTCTCTCTTTTTTCTCTCGTCTTTCGACTTTGCGACCCAAAGGGAAATCTCATCTTTCAGGCACCAAAATGGATCGAGGCGTAAAGCCGGGCGAGATCCCTCCCAGATACGAAGAGTTCCAAGTTGGTTCTGGTGGTGGCTATCAAAAATCCGGCTCCTCCGCCTCTGCGTGGGATCCGAGATACTGGTCCAAGAAAGTATGGATCGGCATCGCTGCAGTCATTGTCATCGCCATTGTCATTGGCGTGGCTGTTGGCGTCACACAGGGGAAGAAGAGCTCATATCCCGACTATTCCCAGCTCACCTATACCCTAAAGGATACATGTGAGTTTACTCATGTCTCAACATTATGTCCTATTGGAGATTTATGCTAACCATCGCTTGCGCGCGAATAATTAGTCCAGGGAGAATCCTTCTTTGATAACTTCAACTACTTCACAGGATTCGACCCTGCCCAAGGCTTTGTGCACTACGTTCCAGAGCCTCAAGCTAAGCAGCTGGTAAGTAGCAGTAGCTTTCATACTATCATCATGGGTACTTCAGTTGCAAGAGACATCATTAACAAGCTGTTAGAACCTCACTTTTGCATCCCAAGATGCTGCAGTCCTCAGAGTCGACACCTCTGTCGGCCCGGGCAGCAACCCCGATGCTTCTACGGGTCGCTTCTCAGTGCGAGTAGAATCCAAAAACACCTACAACAACGGCCTATTCATCTTTGACGTCCGTCACACTCCGTTTGGCTGCGGCACCTGGCCCGCTCTCTGGCTCACTGACCCATCCAACTGGCCCAAGAACGGCGAGATCGATGTCATGGAGGCAACGAACAAGGCCACCGACGGAAATCAGATGACGCTTCACACCTCCAGCGGCTGCTCCATGGGCGTAAAGAGGAAGCAGGCGGACAAAGCCCTTCAGACCAATTGTGATGCCACCAAGAACGGCAACGCAGGCTGCGGCGTCCAGGGAGCAGACAGCACCTTTGGCTCGGATTACAACAAGAATGGAGGCGGCATCATGGCCATGGAGTGGCGTGATGCGGGTATCCGCGTGTGGCAGTTTGCTCGCAGCGCCATTCCCTCTGACATTACGAGCCAGAAGCCTGATCCGAGCACTTGGGGCGAGGCCGCGGCCGACTTTCCGAGCACAGACTGCAATGTTGGGAATCACTTTAGGAATAACTCGATTATCCTCAACATTGATCTCTGCGGCGACTTGGTGTATGGAGTTTGGGACAGTTCTGGTTGTAAGTGCTCTTTTCCCACCTTGCATGGTCTGCACTCTTCTTTTGTTTCCAAGTATTGGCCAAGATGCTAACAATACTTGATTCTTGTAGGCTCCAGCAACTGTACCGACATTGTTGCAAACCAACCCCAGTCCTTCACAGATGCGTACTGGGAAGTTGGCAAGTTCCAAGTTTACCAGTCATCGTAAGACTGAGCGTTGAGGTTTCCGTTTAATGAGGCATGGTTATGAATTATCGGGGTTAATACGTAGGGAGACAGAAGGGATATGTATTGGGTTTATATAGTAATAAAATAAGCGGCACGGGGTGCTAGGATGAACATGGCTCTTAGCATGCCCAGGGAAGAAGAAGACCGTGAGACTGTTCAATAATGAGTTTCTTATAATATACATAATCTGCCTCTATAGAAGCCTGGGTATTGTTATACACATCCAGATCTCCCGATTAAATCAGTAACATGCTGCCATCTCTTTCTCTCTTTTCAATCAAAAGGCCACACCCAAAGTGGAGAGATGCCATATGTCAGTTCCGCCAACGCCAACCCAGATGCTCTATATATACACTCTACCGGAACTCCCCAGCCCGTAATTACCACAAGTTTAAAAAAAAGCACGTATCCTCAAAATCCTTCATATCATCATACAAGCCCCCTTTTCCTCTTCAACAAAGTAGAAACAGCAGCAGCTCTACTCGTCACTCGGCTGACGCATATACGCATCAATAGCCGCACTAAACGCCGCAAAGGCAACGCAGCCTCCCGCAACGGCCTGCGGGCCCGCGTTCTTGGCCAAGATGCCTCCCGTCAGGCATCCGGCCGCCATGCCGTTGACCAGGTCGTTCTTCGCCCGCATGCCCTCGATGCCGCACTCGATTCCGGAGAACAGGGCGCCGACCTTGCCGAAGTTCTTGGCCATGCTCCAGGATCGGGTGCCCATGTCCTTGAAGCCGATCTTGAGCTGCTGGCGGAGGGGGAGGGATGTGATGGCGGGTTGGCCGTTGGCGCCTTGGAGGGGGCTGCCGAAGGGGGTATCGTATGACATCTGGAGGGAAAAGTAGAACATGTTAGCAAAATGGACAGAGGAGTTAGGACTGGTAGCAGGATAGAGGAAACGTACAGAGGCCATGAAGAGGCCAAAGAGTCCGCCCATGCCGAAGCCCATGACGCCTGACATGATGGATTTGCCGTAACATGATTCCATTGCGCCTTGAATCTAGATCGGAGAAAGGTTAGTTCATTGTTTATGCGCTATGGCCGCTGAGCTTCGTTGGCGCGCAAAGAGAAGAGAGAGGAAGATTTACAGCTCTGACGTTGGGATCTTGGCCGCCCAGCTGCGGAAGAGGCGTGTTGCCCCCGCTGAAAGGAGTTGGAATGCTCATGATGAAAAGAAAATAGCTTCTGAATTCGAATAAATTGAGCGATTGGCCGGTATGGCGATGATGCCGTCACTGTATGCGAGTAATGGGGATTGTTTGAATCGCCTAGCTACGAGGGACCTTGAAGATTAACGAGAGGAATTATTTCTGCCGCGCTTGACCGCCTTGGTGGGTTGGCGGATTCTAAGTGTCCCCCGCGGCGGGGCTTAAATTCAGCTGGGCTTCGGTGCCGCCGGCCGGAGCGGAGCGGGAGGCTTGCGGGAGGTGGAATTTGTGTGACAGAGGGAAGAATTGGTGATGATATATTGATGTGTGCTTTAGTCGCTTAGGATTGAATAATGACGGAATATTGGACCATATATGAATGTCACTTTAAAGAACAGACATTACAGGCGTAGACTCGCAATGCTGTTAGTAGAGTTCTTTCGTATATTTCCTCTAGCTTCGTCTATTTGTCAAGGTCCCAAAACAATCCCAGTGCTCACGATGCAATGCCAGTACATATCTTACCCGCCTTTAAATAACATCAAACCACATAAATATGACCAAATGTCTCTCATTCATCACACACCGCAGCCACGGCCTTGTTAATCCACAGCTGGTTCTTCTCCTCCTCAATATACGCAGTCGCCAGCTGCTTCAGCTCCTCCATCTTGGTGTAATCCGCCAATCCAATCTCGCTCTTACCAAGCGACGGGTTCAATCTGACGTATCGAGTCTTAGAATGCTCAGAACGGTTGTTCAACGCCGTCATGTGTCGTGAAAAGTCCTTGCCCTTTGCGTTTGTGTTGGTAGCAAAGCCCATCACCGAAGATGCCACTCCCACAAGCTGGAACCATGATTCAGATGGTGAATCGGGCTTGACGTAGCCGGTACCCAAGCTGATGACGCACGATACGGCGGGAGCAGGCTCGTTTGGCTGGACGAGCTCGTATCTTGAGTACCACAGCTGGTCGATGGGGTTGTTGTTGAGGAGGCCGCCGTCCCAAAAGGTTAGTTGTTGGGGATCGTTTTCGGGCCACTTCACTTCGGGGAAGTATGTTGGTGCGGCAGAGGTTGCGCGCGTGGCTAGGCTGATTGTGATTTTGTCTGAGTGGTCGCGCATGACATCGTTGACTTTGGATTGGACGTGGATAGTGTTGTCCTTGTATGATCTCAACAAGACTGTTTCAGCTCTGTTTTGCGCTGTTGTGCAGACAAACCTATTCAAGCACCACGTTATTAGATATGCTTCCTGCAGACAAGAGCTGAAAAGAAAAAGAAAAAGATTCAGATACTTACATCCTGCCAGCATTGGGATGCATCAATGGCGCATCGCCCTTCAACCTCCTGTCTTCTTCATCCAGACCATACTTGGCAACGACCTTGTCAATGGCCTTTTTCAACGAGGCGTCGTCAAATCTACTGCTTTGAACCAGCGTCTTGCTGTTGTTGATCCAAGAAGCCAGCGAGTTGGGCATCACGCGAGTGATGTTCCACCCATAGATTTTGGGGCTAAACACCTCTTTGGAGATAATGTCGTATTGATCAATGGCATCCGAGGCCGTCATGCGAAGCCGAAACAGCATGATGCCAATGATGCCGCCAGTACTTGTTCCCGCGGCCAGTTCGAAATAGTCTGCGGGGCGACATTCTTCTTTGAGGCCCTTTCGTTGCTGGACTCTCTTCATGATTTCTTTGAGGACGATTAGGGATGCTACGCCTCGGACGCCGCCGCCATCGAGAGCGAGGAGGCGGACGCCGTTGAGATGCCGTGTTGCAGGGAGGTAGACCATCGTGGTGTGGTGTGGCTATGCTATGTAAACGGCTAGAAGAAGAGAGGAATGCTAGAATAGTTTAACAATTTGAAAACGACAGTTGTGGGAGCGCAATTGTTACTTATATAGGTAGGCAAGAGTATCCAGTCTACTTACACACTGGTGAGCGTACTGGTATAAGTCACACAACGCAGCTGCAAACTATCAATAGAGTCCCCGTCCAGCCTCCCAGACTATTGCCGGTCCATCCCGTTTCCAGAGCCGCTACAGGGCCAATTATTGACTCTTGGCCCAGCTGAGCTCTTGTTTGCCCACTCTAGACCAGCTCCACTCAGACGCGGCCCGTCCACTAGCCTCCAAATCTCACGGCGAACCCCTGGAAATATTGCCTTGGAAAACGCCTTCTAGCCTCTGCCGAGATGGGCTGTCTTCTCATAGGCAGATCGGGGACAGCTGAAGGCCATGGTATCGCCCATAGTTGCTTCGGTTGTGGAGGATATGTTTTCTGCCCCTGCGTTGTACGGAGGTGATCTGGGGATCTGAGTGGCGAGAGATACGGAGATGGTCGTTCAGCTGAGAGCAATGAGTTCGAATGTGGAAGTGATGCGACGGCAGCTGAAAGGTTCAATGATGCATTCAGATCGCTACCACTGTGGGCCCGCAGAAGAATAAGTTTTGCCATTATAAATTTGATGATTAGTGTGTCGTATCATGATGAAGAGGTAGCAGGCAGTTGGATCTTTGCTCTGTTGAGAAGATGGTTGCTGCGTTTGTAGGAGGCAAGGTATTCGAATCTGGCTTGAGACGAGTAGATACTTGTATGTGATTATTCGGTCTATCCATCAGAGAGTAGGTTTTGCAATGATATGAATTTTAGAGTATAATTGATAGCAGTGAATATTCTTGGCGCATGTATAAACAGGCGATCAAGACTCGTCTTGCCGAGCAGTGAGCGTGACATCAATAACGCAGCTCCGTATGTCTAATTGGCGACTGCAAAGGTGTAATAATCGAGGCCCGAGAGAGGATCTCCATGCCAGCAACATGCTTGTATAAACTCAACTCTGTGTCTACCCATCCTCCCCGAGTTCTGCCATGCCCGTGATGTCGATGAAGATGAAGCAAGTTGAAAAGCAGAGCCACCGAGAAAGTTCCAGTAATCTCCCATCTAGAGATTGGCCATGACAGCCTCTCTTTGCATCAAAGTAACCATTCGCTCTTGAGACCGCACTGGAATCTCTTCAGCCATGGAATCTGGTAGTACTTGTCGTTTGCGAAACTCACCAAGTTCACGCTTGTGCTCCACCACAAACTCACGGGCACAAGGCGACTTGTGGCCAGTCTGAACGTTTTGGAAATAGTGTTCGACTTGAACATAGAGTAACAACAAGTTAGCAAGTGATTCCGGGAGAAGACCCTGGGTTGCAGGACTATGTTACACACAGAGCATAAGCTTCGAATACTTGCGGCGAGCATTCACTCCCATTTCTCGCTGCATGATTTCGGCGCAGACCTTCCAGTCGTGAATTCGATCGGCTGGTTTCACAGCCTTTGGAGACTGTGGAACGATTGTCTTCCAGAAGAAGCGTTCCTCCTGCCTCGACCACGTTTTACCACCCATTGTGTGCGAGCTCGGAGTGTAGTATTCTGTGAAGAAACGTAGGCTGGCGAAGGTTGGTAGGTGTATAGTCAAAGAATCCAGTAAAGGACAGGATGTTCAGGAGTGGAAGATTGGTAAGAGCTTCGCAGGTGTATGAAAGCATCCAGTCCATCGTCGACAGTTGTTGTAGAGTCAGATGCAGAACACGAAGAATTTATAACGGTGGAGCATTGGCATCGTGGTCGTCCACGAGGTGATTCAGTTCATCAGGAAAGCCGCTCGAGCGCCCATGCTGACCGCCAGATGGCCAAACGGATGGCATTCTCGTGATATAGCCATCATTAGGATTGTGTTCGTCAGTGATTCACAGACGCTGCCAAGAGAGAAGCCACTCAAAACAGCTCTGCTAGCCCGGCGAATTAGAGCCACAGCACCAAGAATCTCAGTATTTCTCAGAAATTCGAGGTTCAGGCGCCTTGACGCCTCGGGCTTGGAGAAAGCCCGCCATGCAGTGATCAATCCTGGAAAACTACACAATGTGAGCATCACACACAGTTGTACTTTAGCAATTTCATCAACTCACGATGCTCTTCTGATTCAGCGGCACCACGCCGTCCTTGATCCAAAACGCCCACGCGCCCATCATATTTGCCAGCATCATGTCCGTTGTCAATCTATCGCCGACAACGGCAATGTGCGACGGATCAGTCACTCCAGTTTCGGGATACTTTTTGAAATACGCCATGATCTCGGCGCCACAGCCTGGCTTCTTTGTTGAGTGAGGGAGGACAAATACCCCCGTGCTCTTCTCTACTTCAGCTGCTTGCTTGAGATCTTTATCCCAGCTAGTCGCTCCGGCTGTGTTGGACACTACCAGGAGCTTGCGACCAGGGTAGGTCTGCTTGAGCTTTTCAAAGTGTTGCTGTGGCTTTCCGTTAGTGACGTTGCAATTGAGAAATGGGGGACATGGCCGTACTCTGTAAGCGGGATATACTTCTTTCGCATCGGGATAAGCAAAACAATCGTCTTTATCTAGAACGACGGCCTTGATGTTGACTTTCCGACCTTCTCGTTGCAGGACCGAGTCGAGGGGGATGGGAAGATCGTTGAACGTTGGTGCAATGTGATGAGGCAGACACAAGCTCGGCTTAAGCAGAAGCTTTGCTGAGTTGAGCGACCCGTACAGATTGAAGTTCATTTTGGAATACGACTTAATATTGTATATGTGGAAAAAGAGTGAACCTGAATAATGAATGATTTACATGCACAATCTATGTAAGTGCGAAGAAGACAGACACAATTGATGCAATTTCTTCTGGCAGTTCCAGTGGGTCAATGGCGCTACGCCAGATCGTTCAGCTTAGTGCCTCAGGACCCTGGAGCTCCGGCAGCTTCAGCGCGTCTGTCGCGTTGAGTGCTCAAGCTGCTTTTCCAGGGAGAATCTCGGATGAGGTCAGTCATTGATTATTGCTTGACAACATTGAAGCTTGACGAGAACATCATTCCTACAGATTCATTTTGTGAGGGGAATTAATTTCAACTTTCTCTGAAAGAGTCACGACTATATTGTGACCAGCAGCACCATCTCTTACTGCTGATTCTCCTGCGCCTCTGCAATTGAAGATACCCTCAAGCAACGAACGACC